GGTATGGATCTGTGGCAACCAGAACAGCAACACGACGTCAAAATCCCATGTCCGTGATGGTTTGGGCCGCGGTATCCGCCACTGGAAGCTCCCCACTCGTTTTTGTCCCCTCAGGAGTAAATTTGAACAGTCAGTGATACATTTCGGACATTTTGGAAGCTGTGTTGTTACCTTGGGCCCGTAAACACTTCAACGGCTCACCATGTAGTTTTCAACAAGACTCTGCCCCATCACATTGCTCAAACATGACCCAAAACTGGATTCAGGGTCGCATCCCAGCGTTCATTAGCAAAAATGAATAGCCCTCAAGAAGCCCTGATTTGAATCCTCTCTAGTTTTCTGTGTGGGCTATTGTAGAGAGTAGGGTCTGCAGAACACCTCATGATTCTTTGGATAGTTTGAAGTCTAAATTGACTCGAGAATGGGACTTGATCCCTCAAGAGATGCTGCGTGTCTCCTGTGAAGCTTTCCCGCGCGGAGATTGGAGGCCATCATTAAAAATATGGGTGGTCATATTGAATAAAAATGTCTGAGAATTGTTTAGGTAATTCTTGGCTACTAGCTCATCCAATAAAAAAACAATGCACCTGTTTGTTTCATTGAGAAATAACAAAAAACATGCGTTGCCATAAATATGGCGGACCCTGTAGTGTTAACCCATTCAGCATTTTCGTATACAAGTTGTTACGGGGCCTTATTGACTGGGCGTAATTCGAAACTATAACCTATAGATTCCGCAATAACCCTTCAGATTCGACACGCTTCTCGCAGTTCATCACACGAAGGAAACAAAGACGACAAAAACCAAATATTAAGATTTTATTCAACACGGATGATGACAAAAAGTGTGTAAGAATCGAAGTTTAGCCTAGGCTCCGAAGGTCTCCCTGCAAGAGAGATGAAAATTACGGCTGAGTTTACAAATAGGACAAGCCATAAACATTAAACACATAATAAAGTTTAATAAGAATTCATAAAACCTAAACTTGGACAGTTATAATTTCACGCACCCAACTGCAAGATCATGAAATACAAGACAACAGCACTGGTCCTACTTTAAAATATCTAAATACTTTAAATACTTTAAAATATCCGGTGATAAACACAGTACACACCTGTTCCCTGCGATGGCGCTAAAAGAATAAGGCTATTATAGTGGCTACTAATCCGGACTTCAGGGTCAATCCGGCAACATCGCAAACACGTCTGGTTTATTTATTAAAAAGACCTTCGGAACAGTCCAGGTTTTACTCCTCTACAGAGTAAGTGAGTTATCTTTGAAGAGTTATGGCCTACTTGATGTCATCCCCGTTTACACTGAATGTAGAAATATTTTTAGTATGGTAATGATGGTAAAGGAAAAGATGGAATAGCGGATGCTTAATTGTGAAAGGTATATCCTGTAAGAGTTATTCGCAGCTTTCTGATTATATTTTTACAGACTGGAACAGTCGTCATATTTTCACAGTCGTCAACGGTTGAAAAACTTGCTGCCTGGAAAATGAACTTCCTGAAATGTTTCTGAACATGAATCAACTTTATTACAGAGTGTAAAAAAGATAGTGGATATCAGGGTAGCAGATAGCGTATATAAGCAGCCCTTAACATGAAATAGGAATGACAGCTCATTCGGCTGCTGAGACATTGAATACACAGCAAGTAAAGCTGGGAAAATTGAAGATGGTCATCGTCGACGAGATTTCTATGATGGGAACTAGTGTCTTCGAGCAAATTGATTGCAGATTGAGGCAGGTCTTCCATCAGTCCAGGAAGGCTTTTGGAGGTGTCTCAATTGTTGTTTTGAACGTTTTTCAACAACTGAGACCGGTGAGAGATGGATATGTCTTTGAAGATGAACATACAGCTATCCAGCAATTGGTTTGAAACACCCCGTGGCCGAAGTTCACGCTTTTTGGGATGTCTCAAATCATGAGACAGCGAGATGATTTGACCTTTGCTGAAGCATTGGGCAGACTGGCAAAAGAAGAAATGACAGAACAGAACATCAGGATGTTCAAGTCAAGGTGTTTCACTGCAGAGCAACTCCCAATTGAAGCAAAGAGTGTTGTGCATTTATTCTACACGAACAAAGATGTTGAATGCTGCAATGAGAAAATAATGATCGAGATGGAGTCAACTAGTTCCGATAAAGTGAATTTCAAGGCAGTTGATCGGGTTATTGATGTCCATTACATGACTGAAAAGAGGCAATCACTATTTATAGCCTATACAGAACTCAAAGGCTGCGGAAACACATGGCTTGTTGGAAAACGTGCGACTTCAAGTTGGCATCCGGTATATGATAACTGTGAATCTCGTCGTATCGGATTGCATTTTCAATGGAGCTACTGGTGAGCTGAAGTTCAATGAAATGTTGCACAACAATTTGGCTGCCGGTTACACCGATTTTGGTGATCCATCGATTGGAGTAGCAGCACTGCAAGCCAGAAAAAGTATTACGTTAATTCGGTGATTCAGCAGAATTGGACACCAATACTACGACTCAAGATCCAGTTCCCAATAACGCAGAAGAGAACCGTGGTTTTGAGGGAGCAATATCCATTGGTATACCGGCAGAGGCTAATACCATCCACAAGTCTCAGGGCTCAACGTTGTCAATAGTTGTAGTAAACTGGAAAGGTTTGTCAAGAGAGTTGCTATATCTTGGTTGTTCTCGGGCAACAACATTAAATTGCTTTTTTTTTGATAGGGAAGTTCAAAGCACCTAAATAACCTGGAGCAAATCGTCGCCCTACGCTGGAAATGGAAAGGATGAAAAGGGAGTCTCCATTGATTCCAAAGTTTACTCATCTGAAGGATCCGGCAGATGCGAAGTACCAAATCGTGAGCTTCAACATTCTGTCGTTCAGGAGTCACATCAATATACTGTATGTTGAAACGGTGCTGTATGCATCAAATATCATCCTACTGCAGGAAGTATGGTGTTATTGGAATGAGCAGTTTGTCGTAAATGGAAAAGGGAAGTCATCAGGAATGAATTGAGAGATCCTCGAGGAAAATGAACCATGGTTTTGACTTTTTGGCTTTTTCAGAATTGTCTCGAACATTTGAGGAAAAGAAAGCATTTGAAAATGAGCAGCAGGATAAGCAGGTAGAAATAACAAGTTGCAAAATAGAAAATTTGGTGATTATCAACGTCTACAGTGGTTGGAAAACAGATTTTGGGTTCTTTTGGGTCGAGTTTAGTCGAGTTGAGTCGAGTTGAGTCGAGTTGGGTCGAGTTGAATAGAGTTGAGTCGAGTTGAGTCGAGTTGAATCGAGTTGAGTCGAGTTGAGTCGAGTTGAGTCGAGTTGAGTCGAGTTGAGTCGAGTTGAGTCGAGTTGGGTCGAGTTGAGTCGAGTTGGGTCGAGTTGAGTCGAGTCGAGTAGAGTCGAGTCGAGTGACACTGCAGTTCGAGTCGAGTTGAGTCGAGTCGAGTAGAGTCGAGTCGAGTGACACTGCAGTTCGAGTCGAGTCGAGTCGAGTCAGAGGCGATGTGAATCTTCAACTTCTTCATCTTGAATCATTGTTCTACTCCCTAAACGCTATTGTCTCCATGCATTTGTTGAGCCCACCTTCGTAATGTACACTGGTCATCTACAATTAGGTTAATAATAACTAAGAAACGATCTACCTCACCTACCTGAAATTATTACAGCCACTGAGCAGGTGCAAAATTCCCATATTTAAAAAAATTGAGTTGATACCCAGTTTTTTAAGGCCGTTATCATTTATTTGCCTAATTCTGAAACGACTAACACACATACTTCAAATTGTGGTTGCCACTGCGCAGGTGTACAATTTGCATATTTCTCTTCTTTGTTTGAGATCCAGGTTCTATTGCAACTATTATGGGTAATTACCTAATTTCGGAACGAAGAAACCCACATACCTGAAGTTATTACTGCCTTTGCGTACGTGTAAAGGACAAATTTAAAACTTTCGTAAATTCCCCAATCAGGACCGTTTTTGCCGATTTAAGCTCGCATCCAAGGATTTCTACTGAAACGTGCAGTTTGCCACTGTGTATTTTTCTGCGAAGTTAAGTATACCATATGCTACCTCGGCTCGCCCTAACCCGGTTCACCCCAGCACGGTTCACTCCGACCTGGTTTTTCCCCTCCCGCTTCCTTCCGGAGCTCCATGAAATCTTCCCCCTACAAGACCTGATTTTTTCGCTACTTCAGCAAGCTTTTTTGGATTACTGTTCTCACCCATAGAATTAAAGTCGCTTTTGTTAATTAACTAATGTTCTTCTCAGTGAGGGGAAGGCACTCAATCGTGGTCTGGGACTGTTACGTCCGCAACACATACTAAGGATATAGTGGCCTGGGACTGTTACGTCCGCAACACATGCTAAGGATATCGTGGCCTGGGACTGTTACGTCCGCAACACATACTAAAGATATCGTGGCCTGGGACTGTTACGTCCGCAACACATACTAAGGATATAGTGGCCTGGGACTGTTACGTCCGCAACACATGCTAAGGATATCGTGGCCTGGGACCTGTCTCTTATACACATCTAGATGTGTATAAGAGACAGGTTGTTTCCTGCCCAGCTCTGTTGTTTCCTGCCCAGCTCTGTTATTGCTGTCTCTTATACACATCTAGATGTGTATAAGAGACAGCTGCCCAGCTCTGTTATTGCCTGCCCAGCTCTGTTATTGCCTGCCCAGCTCAGTTATTGCCTGCCCAGCTCCGTCATTGCCTGCCCAGCCCTGTTATTGACCTAAATAGACTGTAACAGTTGACGTTATTTTGTTTGCTTCACATTCAGGGCATCGCCTGCCATTTGGTTAGGTGGTTCTCCGCTATCTGCGGCCATCGTATTCAATTTTTCAGTTGCCATTCGTTGACATCCTACACAACACAGCAGTGCACTGGATCTGACCAATCTACGCCATTACTCTATATCATACAATAATAAACTCAATAATAAACATTACTCAATATCTTACAATAATAAACTAATAAACAAAGATTATCTGCCGTCCACTCACCCGAAAGCCTCGGCGCGCGTGTCGCCCCAGTAGTTCGTCCTGATGCCCGCCGCCTGTAGCTCCTGCAACAACAGCTGCTGCTCTGCTGCACGAAGTCTGCAGCCCTTCAGCCTGAGCTCTGCGAACCTGGGGGATAAAAACTGCAGTCTTATTCCCCCAGACGCACAGACTGCAGTGTCATTCCCCTTAGGGGACCGTCTAACCTAAATTGGAGATAGCCTATAACTCCTAAAGTTATTATCCGATCATCATGAAACTTCACATTCAAACGTAAAATGTAATGAAACACATGCTAAGGATATCGTGGCCTGGGACTGTTACGTCCGAAACACATGCTAAGGATATCGTGGCCTGGGACTGTTACGTCCGAAACACATACCAAGGATATCGTGGCCTGGGACTGTTACGTCCGCAACACATGCTAAGGATATCGTGGCCTGGGACTGCTTTGTCCGAAACACATTCTAGAAACATATTCCAGAGATGCTTTAGATTATACGTTAATGAAATATTTCTTAGTGCAGCCAAAAAATTGTTGTCTGGAATGCATTTCAAATTGACGAAAATGACGAACATAATTTTGTATGAACGGAAATTATCAAAATGAACACCAGAAATTTAGTTATTTGTTGTCTTTGCGAAAAGCAGTGAGCTCAAAATATTATTTGTATCTGCTGGAGCGTAACGAAGAATTGTGAATAAATGTACATTTAGAAACTTTATGAACTAATATTGAGGCATGAATGAAACTTGAGTGGGAAATTCATTCAGACTTTATTCAGCATTCATGGTTTTTTTCACAACTCATGACTTTATTAATCATTTTTGGCTTCATTCAACATTCGTACCTTTATTCATCATTTTTTATTTTATTCATTATTCATCATTAATGGATTTATTCATCATCCGTGACTTTATTCATTATTCATCATTCATGGTTTAGTCATCATTCATGACTGCATTCATCATTCACGGTTCATTCATCATCCATGGGCACCGCCCGCTGGTCCCCCCACAGTCTGGCGGTCGGTGATGTGGAGGTACACCAGCCTCGCCCTGTGGGGGACATGGGTACGTTATTGCCTGCCCAGCTCTGTTGTTGCCTGCCCAGCTCTGTTGTTGCCTGCCCAGCTCTGTTATTGCCTGCCCAGCTCTGTTATTGCCTGCCCAGNTGAAGCATGACTGGCAGAAGTTTGACAGAACTTCAAAGTCGACCACAAAGCCAGTGTTCAATTCAATCACACAACCGATGCCAACATGGGATTTATGCCCACGTGTCATCCACGTCCCATCAAAACTCACATCGAGGTCGAGAAATTCGTCGCCTTCCTTGTAAGTCCCACTCTCAGAGGAAGCATGCTTCAGGGCTGCTATCATCTCATTTTGCTTCGTTGTAAAGAAAAGGTTCATATTCTTATACAGAAAGTTACAGTGCCCATAGAAGGCTTGGGTGGCGAAGCCATGGGTTGACAGTGAAGCACAAATTCGCTTGCAACCGGCGAAGCCGTCACTGTTCATCAATGAATAATATACAAGGCTCAAATTCTTCAGAGTGAAATTACTCGCTCTACCGTCAAGTCCGGTCACACATTCAGCCTCATAAAACTTTGCTTCAACTTTACACTTACTGCATTTGGTGACAATCTTTGCTTCCATATGAAGAATCTGCACGGAAGCATCGCAAACGGCGCCACATTCGGAACACTCTGGATTACAGCGGAAAAGCTGGTTTATCAACGTTACAGGAATTAGGCAGTTACTGCCAGAATCCGGAGCCTGACTAGGTAAATCGGCTAAATCCTTCTCTGGTATAGCAGCCGCAAGCAGTTCTTGCCGACGTACGAGAGGATTCACCCAAGTAGGTGGCTCAACGGGTGGCTTTGGTCGCCGATCACACGGTTGAACATACCCAACTTTACCAAAATTCTGCCTCTTTCGCTTCGGCATCTTACCTCAAAGAATTCTGTAAATCTGCACAAAATTTAGGGGGAGAGAGAAAACACTCGCAACACCTACAAGTAGCACAGTTCAAAACACACTGAAGCTCACAGAACGATTGCAACGCTGGTACGAGGCTAGATAGCGACAGCGCTCTAGCACGGCAACCAATGATCGCGTCGTAGTAAACACAATATTACGTACAAACTAACACACGCACAGGCATGCTGCTTACACCATTGGATGCGTAAAAATGAGAGCTCCGCCCTGATATCTCTCATTGGCCGCTGAAGCAAGCCGTTCAAAATTGCCAGCTCGATTGGTCGGCTATAGAGCGACGTCAGAGCCGACGTCAGAGGTCGGCGCACTGATATCGGCCAATAGTACCAACCATACTAAAATGAATAAAAAACAAACTAACGCACGCACAGAGATGCCAATTACACCGATTTATGCGCCTGAAAAGCAGCTTTAAAATGGACCAAAAAACGAAAAAAGTGAAATTTTTCGATTTTTGGGTTAGACGGTCCCCTTAATACAAGGAAGCCTCAGCAGCAAAATATAAGGTTATTATTGGAAATGATATCATAAAGTTGAGTATTTACGGCGCTGTGAATAAGAGGCTAAAATATAAATAAAAAAGATAATATAATAGGAAATAATAACAATAATATGATAAAGAAATAATAAGAAGATAATATAATAGGAAACAAAGATAATATGAAACATTTTTGGCAACGGTTAATAAGGCAAAGAGACCTAATTTTGATACGCGCCGCACCGGGGGCTACGCACCTCTTGTTATGAGGGGCGAGGGAGGTGATGGTGTGGGCCACGGCCCCCCTGCACCCACTATCCGCCCCCTCCACGTACAGCGATGGTGAAGGGATGAGGGGCAGCGGCCTTTTGATGTAGGCGGGGGGCGAGAAGGGGCGCGTGTACACGGCTGCCAGGGCCATGCAAAGTCAGATAACAGTGAGGGAATAAGATAACAGTGATAGAACATGATGAGATAACAGTGATGGAACATGATGAAATAACAGTGAGGGAACATGATGAGATAACAGTGAGGGAACATGATGAGATAACAGTGATGGAACATGATGAGATAACAGTGATGGAACATGATGAGATAACAGTGATGGAACATGATGAGATAACAGTGAGGGAACATGACGAAATAACAGTGAAGGAATATGATAAGACAACAGAGAGGGCATGTAATAAGATAACAGTGAGGGCATGTAATTAGATAACATTGAGGGAATGTTACGGGATAACAGTGAGGACATGTAATGAGATACAGTGAGGGCCTGAAATGAGATAACAGTGAAGACATGTAATAAGAAAACAGTGAGGGCATGTAATAAGAAAACAGTGAGGGCATGTAATGAGATAACAGTGAGGATATGTAATAAGATAACAGTGAGGACATGTATTAAGATAACAGTGAGGGCATGTAATGAGATGACAGTGAGGGCATGTAATGAGATAACAGTGAGGGCATGTAGTGAGATTACAGTGAGGGCATGTAATAAGAAAACAGTGAGGGCATGTAATAAGAAAACAGTGAGGGCATGTAACGAGATAACAGTGAGGATATGTAATAAGATAACAGTGAGGGCATGTAATGAGATAACAGTGAGGGCATGTAATAGGAAAACAGTGAGGGCATGTAATGAGATAACAATGAGGATATGTAATAAGATAACAGTGAGGGCATGTAATGAGATAACAGTGAGGGCATGTAATAAGAAAACAGTGAGGGCAAGTAATAAGAAAACAGTGAGGGCATGTAATGAGATAACAATGAGGATATGTAGTAAGATAACAGTGAGGGCATATAATGAGATAACAATGAGGATATGTAATAAGATAACAGTGAGGGCATGTAATAAGATAACAGTGAGGACATGTAATTAGATGACAGTGAGGGCATGTTTTAAGATAACAGTGAGGGCATGTAATAAGATGACAGTGAGGGCATGTAATTAGATAACTGTGAGGGCATGTAATACGATAACAGTGAGGGCATGTAATATGATAACAGTGATGGCATGTAATGCGATAACAGTGAGGGCATGTAATTAGATAACAGTGAGGGCATGTAATAAGATAACAGTGAGGGCATGTAATGAGATAACAGTGAGGGCATGTAATTAGATAACAGTGAGGGCATGTAATTAGATAACAGTGAGGGCATGTAATGAGGCAACAGTGAGGGCATGTAATGAGATAACAGTGAGGGCATGTAATTAGATAACAGTGAGGGCATGTAATGAGGCAACAGTGAGGGCATGTAATGAGATAACAGCGAGGGCATGTAATTAGATAACAGTGAGGGCATGTAATGAGGCAACAGTGAGGGCATGTAATACAATAACAGTGAGGGCATGTAATGTAACTCTAAAACAATTGGTTCAAGGGACTGTACCCAGTAACGTGATCCCTCATCATATTATATGAAAATACAAAAGAAACAACTGGATAGCTTCTGTTATTGCAACAAATGTCGAGGTGATAGTAACCTTGCGAATATGTAATGAAGATGTGCATATGAAAAGTTTTTAAAGTATCATAAAGCAGAGACAATAGTATATATGAATATTTAAATCAATATTTAGATATTGATTGTGATCGTGATGATAGTGCTGTGGGCACACATCAAATGCAGCATTCGCCTGGTGAACCCGCCCATATGTTATTTTATAAGAGGAAATAAGTGCACTTTAGTTTAAAATTTACTCATCTAAGCTCCAGGGTCAAGATTCAAAGTTTGAGGTTCAAGCTCTGAACTTTCTAGCAGATTAAACAAAAACTAATTGAAGGGTTATTACGTATAATTACTGAATTGCACCCAATGATAAAACATGTTCAACTATTTCATCCTTAAATAATAGACACCTTATATCTATTCTCAATAAAATTTACAAATGACGGAAAATTGAGCAGCCGATGTTAATAACATGACACGTCTAGACTATACGTGGCGACTCCGTACAGCACAACGACTAACCTTGCGCTGCTATAGTACTGACATGGGCGATCAAACGATTTTCATCCAAACTTAAAACTCAAGTGTTAAAAATGTCACTTGTATGAAAACTCGAACAATAAGCGTGATGATTGTAGGTGTATTGACATATGTATTGTAATATACAATATATAATATTATAGTAACATACTCCAGACCCATTATTGACAAGACTAACTGAGTTTTCTGTTAATTCCACCGAAGGTGCCGAGGTCCAGGGGCGCCGCCATGCGGATGTGGAGCTCAGCTCCACGCGCCACAGCGGCGAGGGCGGCCACCCCAGCGGGGGTGCCCACGCATCCCCAGAACCCGACCAGCCGCACCCTGTCCCCCAGAAGGGTAATGGCGAGGCATGAATATAATGCCATCAGTTCAGGGAGATAAATAAGGTGAGGGAATAATGCTGAGTAACGAGGTTATTGTTCACTGCATCTTGATGCTTCTCGGTCTCACCAATTCAGTGCAAGGCACTGCTATGCCCTCTGCCGGGCCAAACTGGGTCAGGATGACCCACACAAAGTCAAAAAGTATGTCGATATATGATCAAGTCTCACTGATTTCAATGAATTCCATTTTGATTGTAAACGATGGACATAATTAAACAAATTCTTATAATTTAGTTAGTTCAGGAGTTATATCGCTCTAACCCCACAGCACAGCATATCCTCCTCTAGCTACGGCCATCGGTGGCCCGTGAGCGGCGGCGAGGGTAGGTGCTTGCGCTTCATGCCATTTCCTTTTAAATTACCTCTCATATTAACGTCTAGCTTGTTTCAGAACAGCCCCAATACCGTCAACCCCTGACGGTATTGAACTGTGCTGGCAGAGTTCTTCCCCTAATAAAATTTTCATGCGTCCTACTTCTGAAGTAGGTTCCGCCTAGGACTCAGGGAGCAGGCAAATCAGCTGCTCTTCGTAATCTTTAGGTCCTACTCTCCGATCCTACGCTACGAGAGTCTGGTTCTTACTCTGCTAGCTATTAGACAGTATTACTATGGGTCCGTCCCAGCTTCTGCAGCAGCTCGGGCTTTTTTCCATCAGAAAAAAAACTCACACGCACACACCCGCTCTTCCCAAGCAGGGATGAGGGTAGGGTAATTGAGGGCTAGCTGTATACTTGTTTTCAAATGCATATTGCAATGAAACACTGAACTCAACTAGCAAGGAAAAAAATCAGAACACCGAGTAATGATGCGCGTGGGAAAACATTTTCGCACTGTCCCAAAGATATAATGTAAGAAGTCCGCGATAATATACTAAACGGAACAGTAAAAGTGTTACGGGATCTTTGCATAAGGTTACATAACATAACATAACATAGGGATGTCGGCTCTGAAGTGTAGGCCTGATGTGGCCTGTCGCCGATTCTTTTCCATTTCGTGCCTTGTTCATAGATCTAAACTCGTGTCATTTGACCGGATCTTTTCATGACTGGCGATAGTTTGAAGAAGCTACTAGACTTCCACCGGGTTCGATAAGGAGCTAGGCATTTCAAATCTGAACATATATTTTTCCATAGCTTTATCTAGTCTGTTCTTGAACGCGTTCATACTTGGAGCGCCAACGATGTCATCGGGAAGGCTGTTCCACATGTCGGTGATTCGAAGCGAGAAGAAATTTTGTCGCGTGGAGAAGTTGCAGCGCAATTTTTTTAGCTTATAGCCGTGGCCCCTGGTGTTGGTTCTTGTTTCAAATTCTAGTAACCCTTCAGGGACCTTGTATAGACCATGATTATACTTGTATACTTCAATGAGGTCCCCACGCAGACGTCGATAACTGAGGCTTGGAAGCTTCATAATCTTCAATCTTTCTTCATAGGACTTGCCCTTCAAGCCTGGAATTATCCTTGTTGCACGTCTTTGAACATTCTCTATTAAATTTCTGTCCTTTTCGAATCTCGGTGACCACACAACGTTTCCAAACTCTAGACTCGGGCGTACGACGGCAACAAACAACTGCTTCATCGTTTCTGCATCTAGGAACTCGTATGAGCGTCTGATCAGTCCAAGAAGTTTGTTGGATGTGTTAGCTTGCGTTTCAACATGCTTAGAAAATTTCAGCTCCTTGTCGACATAAACTCCGAGATCTTTTTCCACACTAGACTTTTCAATCATTACTCTCTCGTTGCAACCATGTCTTCTCATACTGTAATCTTGCTGTTCATTGTTCTTCCCGAGGTGAAGTACTTTACACTTGTCAGCATTAAACCGCAGCTGCCACGTGTCAGCCCAGTTAACTAAGCTGTCAAGAACGGTACTATCTCGACGCTAACCCAAGCAATATAAAATGAACGAAAAGTATAACAATGATACTAATTTCCGATGGAGCTAATTGGAAGAGTCTCATAATTTTTCTTGTCTAGCATGACAAGAATGAGTAATGCAACTTCTTCACACTGCAACTTCTCCACGCGACAACATTTCTTCTCGCTTCGAATCACGGACATGTGGAACAGCCTCCCCGATTGCATCGTTGGAACGCGTTCACAGACTAGATAAAGCTACGGAAAAAATATATGTTCAGACTTGAAATGCCCAGCACCATATCGAACCCGGTGGAAGTCTAGTAGCTATTTCAAACTATCGTCAGTCATGAAAAGATCCGGTCAAATGACACGATTTTAGATCTTCTGTGAACAAGGCATAAAAAGGAAAAGAATCGGCGACAGGCCACATCAGGCCTACACTGCAGCGCCGACATCACTATGTTATGTTATGTTATGACGTATCTGGCGATGTTACCCCTTTATTTAATTTATAACGAAACTAATGCCAAAATCAGCTAAATGCAATATAACTGCAATAATTGAATTATAAAATATTTATTAGAGATATAAGCTTGCATTGAAGTGTGCAAAGTTACATGGAGACGAATACCGACATATTACAAACGAACTCGTACGTCCGCGTACAAGTGCACCGACGGTTTCTGGAGCAGAAGCTGGGCAAGGGGTGTGCTCAAGCTCGAACGACCTGGAAGCTTCTGCTTAGGGTCTGCCGCTATGGGCCTGAAGTGCCTCAGTTGGGCAGCGTACAAGCGGGGTAGGACTACGTCAGACAAACCCGAGCCATACTCTCAGGATACTATGAAGTCATTTATACTGACCAGTCGCTGATTTCAGTCTGGTACCCAGACTAACTCACTCTAATCCACATCAATCCCTGGGCAGAATCTTAGTCATTACCTTCTATTCTCAGGACACTCGTACCCTCAGAGCTCTTACCCGCTGTTTGGTAGCGGCAGGAGGAGGTCGTCATGGGGCTGGTAGGTGTAGTAAGGAGGCTGGTAATCGTAAGGATGGAACAGGTTAAGCCTGACGTCCACACCGCCTGCCTCCGCTAAAAGCTCTCCCCATTGCGCCTTTCTCAAGGCGGCGGCTTCCATCTCCACCACCAAATGCTTCGGCCGCGAATGCCGCAACATTTTCGTCACCGCTGAGACATGGCGAACTGCGGCGGACAACATGGAACAAAGTCAAATGATTTCGTGCTGCGCTGTCGTGGACAAAGCAGTAAAGCAGCATTTGTATCAACACGAGTGAACGTCACCACCACACCCAACACGAGTGGTCGTCACCCACCGCACCCAACACGAGTGAACGTCACCCACCACACCCAACACGAGTGAATGTCACCCATCACACCCAACACGAGTGAACGTCACCCACCACACCCAACACGAGTGAATGTCACCCACCACACCCAACACGAGTGAACGTCACCCATCACACCCAACACGAGTGAACGTCACCCACTGTTTCTGACGTTCCAGTCCTCGTCCTCCGTCAAAGTGGCGAGCTCGGCCACTTGCTCCGCGTGGTCAGGGCAGCGCGTGACGCAGTCCATCACATCGGCGGCGGTGACACCTGCGTCGCGTAGCGCCTCCTTCAGTTCCCCACACCGTCGTAGGAAGTGGCGGGGGCTGTCCCTACTCAGCATCTGCACCACGTACAGCAGCACTTCCCGCAGCCTGGGGAAGAAGCGCATGTGGAGATTCACTGTGGAGTTTAGGGCAGTGCATTCACTCAACAAGATAGGTAACCTGCACAGGTTCTTTGCCAGTCTACTATTAAACTAAATATGTCAGTTTCCTACTGGCCTGTTGTGTCACGAAATGAGTGTTTCCCGCTGGACTGGTATGACACAAAATTTATCCGTTTCCGACGGGTCTGCTGGACCACAATATAAATGTTTGTCTGTTTCCAACTAGGCTGTCGTGCAACAAAATATGTTTGTATCCTGCGTGTCTTTCACATGATGTGCTGTTCTCTTATGATGGCTGTAATCTTTATGCTACTCACTGCTGAAATGCATCACATAATAATACTCACTGACTCAGTTCTTCCTTTGGGACTCCTAGGATGTTATTGAGGGAGTCGGCGCTCTCTCCAATGATGCACTGAACAACGTAATCACCTGCAAACATTTCCTGCTCACTCTTGTGCTTGAATTCATAGCTTGAACTCCTGTTCAATCCCAGAGGCTTATGCTCTTTCAACACGATTGAGAGCACAACTGCAGAATCGGACTTTTCATCTCCTTTTAGTCTAACCTGACATCTCGGTTTAATAGCCCGCAACTCCGCTTCTGAGAAAGTCAGGACGTTGTCGCGGAGCAGCTTCAACGCTTCAGCACCGACGAGAGCAAACATGTTGTCCACCAGGACGTCCAAGTCCTCATCAATCGAACCCGATAGTTTGGTGTGAAGCAGTTTTCTGTACAGTCGTAGCTTATCTGGTGCCACGTCCCCGGGCGTTTGCCACGAGGGTATCGCCTCAGGGAAGTACTTATGCATCTCACAGAAATGAACTAAGTTAATAGGCTCCGAGAATTGACTTCTGATATCGTTGTTGAGGCACATGAAGCTCCTTGTCATCTCCCCCGTCGGCGTTCCATCACTCAAAGACTCTTCATACCGCCTCAAGAATTCCAGCTGGTCGTCAAGCTCCGTAAGCGGCATGATTTCGAACTGAGTGAAGCTGACATCATGACTCGTCAGAAGTGGCTCCAGCTTCTCCTTTACGGCATAAGGACGAGCCGTGATCAACACACGGCAGTTGTTGCGCCTTGTCTTCTCGATTACCTCAATAACAACTTTCTTGGAAACGTCATTGACTTCGTCGAAGCCATCGACTATAATTAAGACATCAAGACGCAGGAGAGCCTTGAGGATATTTTCTTTCCCTAGTTCAATGCACAAGTCTTCGAAGTGTTGCTCGATGACGTCACTCAATGTTGTCGTGGTGCGATCACGGCACTCGAAGAAGATGACTTGATTAAATGATTTCAAGAAATCATCAGCTTTTGGAAGTGGCTCGAAGAATTGCAGCACAATGTTCTTGACGAGAGTCGTCTTGCCAGCTCCAGCGACGCCCGTCACCACTACAATCTTCTCCGGAGCTCCAAAAATCTTGAAATAAGGGAAAACTTCTCCGCCAGATAGTGCTTTCACCTCCAGGTCGAGGGCGTGGAACACGTCCCGACGTTTCACCTTTATTGTTTCATTGCCTAGACTGAGCACCTCACCGGAAAGTCTGGATTCCCAGAGGAGTCTGAAGGCTGCTTTTCCGCTCACCATCAGCCTCGAACACCAGTAGTAAAGGCTCGTCTTGTCAGTTGATTGCAGTTTTGCAATGTCATCGCTCAGCTCATGTTTCATATCTTCGATCTCTCCTTGGTTAAGAGAATAGAAGCTTCCGGCTTCATCTATCAGCTCAACCAGCGCTGCTCGCAGACCTTCGAAATTTTGCTTGCTCTCAACGGCCTGCAAGTTGTGAAAGGAATTGTTCCGCCAGTCCTTGACTTCTTTTAACTTTTTCAGCAGTTCACGATAATCTTTTGAGCTATCTTTGCGAACTATTGTGATAATATAATTAAACAGACTAAAGATGGCAGTGACGTCTTGTTCGTCGGGATTTGTAACTGTTTCAAAAGCCTTTGACAAGAATCCGAATGCCTTTTTCCATTCTGTGTTGGAGAAAGCGTCTTCGTTTTTGTCTCTCCGAAGCCGATCCAGGTATTGTCTATAAGTTTCATGACTTTTCTTGTCTTGGCACTCTCTGTTCAGGATAAGCCCCATGATCTTCGGGCTGAGGCACAAGTTACCGAAAGTATTACGGTAAGTCCATTTGAATTTTTCGCCATCCAAACCGACTTCTGATGCATCTGTCATGCTCGCCATCTTGTAGGATCTGTTGGGAGAAATACAATTAGCGAATGAAAATGCAATGATCTATTATTTCGATGTTAATAATGTTGAATAAAAAAATGAAAGTATTGTGCAATGTGTCTTTGAATGGATGCTGAATTGAGTGGAATGAATTCAAATGAATGACAGGAACTTTGCGATTTTGTGATAGGGTCCTCGTGTGGGGTTCTAGTCTACACGTACAATAATGAGGTATAGGTTGACTGGTATAGCCTCGTGATATAAGTGAAGGTTAGCTATTAAATTGACTGACTGGAATGAATGAATTTTATTAAGAGCTGATTGCGACACGGATAATTTAGATGTTACAAAGACGTTGTATTAAATAATATCCCTGGCAAAAAGGATTTTTATCAGAAATGTAAAAGCAAATCAAAGAGATAGTTTGACAGGATATATCTACAAGGAATAACATAGGAAGAATTAGCTACAATGAACTAAACTGAACTAGATTCACGTGGCCTAGAGCCCAACCGACCTCTAATGATGATCGTCCGGAAGATAATGATTATGAACTTGATGTAAACGCTACGTTAGCTTCCTACGCAACGTTGTCAAGTTAGGGGAGAAGGCTCATTTTGTTGCGGTATTCGTAAACCGTAATTTTCTTACACTTCTATACATGGCACTCAATTCATGGCATTTCTATGTAAATACAAATAACGAATAATACCCTCGCCTTGCATCCCCTGCAAATTGTCAGTAGAAACTTCTATTGGCATATTTTCTTTATTATTTTTAATTATTATTTTATTGTCAGGGATATGTTACCCCAAACCTCGACACGACTTTGCTCAATATCATATCTAAGTGATGGAGAAAAGCGGTTCAGCAAGATTATTTAAACATTCGATCAGTATTATTATATAATTTCGATAACCGAAGCAAGAATATTACTTAAAACATTTACATAAAAATTTTACAGCCTTAATATAAAAATAGAAACAATGGGATATTTATCGATCGAATACAGACCATCAAGTGTCTTCTTGCACGTGTGACGTTATATCTCAAAGATAAATTATGTCTAAATATTTGCATTACTTACGAGATGTTTCCTTCCACGAAAAGTCTCTTATAGTCCTACTCGAGAACCATAATGAAATAGATGACAAAATAGAAATATATTATATAATAGTGATAATGTTGAGCAGAAGTCGTCAGTATAACGCCGTCTGGTAGATGACAGTGATAATGTTGAGTAGAAGTGGAAAGTATAACACCGTCAGGTAGATGACAGTGATAATGTTGAGTAGAAGTCGTCAGTATAACGCTGTCAGGTAGATGACAGTGATGTTGAGTAGAAGTCGTCAGTATAACGCCGTCAGGTAGATGACCACGAAACAAGCGTCGTCAACGCAGCGTTGCTACGGACAAGTTCTAGCCGGTCGATCGTATGCAGGCTGCGTGGCCTCTCGAAGACTCGTACGCTAATGGATATTCGAGATAATTTCTACTTCTTCTTTTTGCTACGAGTATATGGAGAACTTGTTTAGTTAATTTGCGTGTTCACTGCTTATAAACTGATCAGACATGCGGTCAATATTAATTACCCAATATTTTCAATTACAATTTAATAAACGAACTTCAATTCAAGTGCCAATGTAAATGATACGTTACAGTGCCACGTGCCGAGGATAGATTGTTTGTCGCAATTATCTACTAAGCGTCATAAACAACTTAAGTAACAACAAATATAAGTCCTCTACAACGAGATATTCAGATATACACACAGACTGAGACGCGTATCGATCGCTTTATCTATAAGATCTAAGCGATAACTTCAGCATCTCTCGAAATGTCAGGCAAAAAATAAATACAAGTCACCCGTATTTTTCAGAGTTGAATTGAAAGTAAGAAAGATACCAAAACTGAGCAGAGATTGAAGAATTGAACAATTTTAATGAGCGGTACGGTGAGTAAGACAGTATTTCACCGGAGCACTGCAAGGTGTTCTGTGCGACACCGCAGTGTAGAGATCACTGGCACTACAACTGGACGGCACCGCGGTGCAAAAACTTCACTACAACGCATATATCACTGTATCAAACTAAAACTGAATGAATGTCACTATTGATTGTGAATAATATTTTGCTGAATTGATTGAAACGGAAACTTTTAGTAAAAACAAACAGGAGCATCTTGCCCGCTATAGTTTAGCCTAAACTGGTCTGAATTTTTTAGATGGACGCGCGACGCAGGGAATAATAATAATAATAATATTAATAATAATAATAATAATAATAATAATAATAATAATAACACTATTATATATAATAGTAATAATAATATTCTGAATAATATAAACATTCAGCGACGCTACATATTTTGGCGGTAAAAGTACTACTTTGTTATATAAGTACTCAACATGAATGTTTTTAACGATGATGTTGGTAATGATCGATATCAGTTGGAATAAGTAGCAAATGATTTATTCGGGCACATTTACACCACATCACTCAGAGTAATGAGAGAAAATTTGTCCCGATAGTGATGCACTTTGGCCAATGTCTAAGGCTTCCTGAACTAATTTAGCCCTACCAAAGGACGTACCTTAAATTATTGTGGCAGTGAAGGATTTAAGCCTCCATCTTTGATCTTGCTGGTATAGGAGGTAAGCTAGGAAACGCAGCAAACGTCGACTATTGAATTTATGACCACTCAAGACATAGTACTTTATTGTTATTATATTGTTTTATTATTATTAATATCACAATAATACTTTATGCTAATACTAATATTCACTGCAATTTTAAACGAAAGCTTTTTCGTTTCTCTTTACTCGCTGCCAATCCTGAATCCTTTGCTTAATAATTGAACAGTAATTTTCAATACAACTTTGTTCCATGTTACGGCCGAGCATTGTGATTTGAATCAAAATTTATTGTAATTTCATACGTTAATAACTCGTAATTGTTGAATTTTCCGACCAGTAAAGAAGCTGTCAATTTAAACTGTTGGTTTTAAATATAAATCAGTTCTCCAGTCCTTAAATATAAATCAGTATAAATCCTTCAAGAGTCCCGGACTAATTCTACAAAATCGCAGTGCCGTAAATAAATTGAATTTAAAAAGTTATTAATGCTCAATCTATATAAGAAACTGCTTAACTGATACTCGTGAACTTATAACAAACTTTTTGCTGCTTTGAAGTTTATAAACTTTTTGGTTTGGGAGAACTTTCAATTTGAATTTAAAAAGTTATGAATGCAAATTTTATTTTAGAAACGACTCAACTGATGCTCGTGAAATTATAACAGATTATTTGCTGTTATAATGTAAAAAACTTTCGAGGTTTGGGAGAGCATTCGAGCTAAATTTTAAAAGTTATTAATACTAATTCTTTTTTAGAAACGGCTGAACTAATACTCGCGAAATTATAGCAGACTTTTTCCAGCCGTAAATTGAATATATTTTTAGGTTTGGGAGAATTTTCGAGTTGGATTTAAAAAATTATGAATGCTAATTTTACTTTAGAAATGGCTGAACTGATCCTCGTGAAATTATATTAGACTTTTCGCTGCTTAAAAAAGGAATAAATTTCTAGGTTTGAGATAACTTTCGAGTTGAATTTAAAAAGTTATGAATACTAATTCCAGTTTAGAAACGGCTTAAATGCTACTCGTAAAATTATAGCAGACTATTTTCGCTTAAAAGTAGATACCTAAATTTCTACGTTTGGGAGAACATTCGAGTTGAATTTGATAAGTTATGAATGCTCATTCTTTATTAGAAACTGCTGAAATGAAACTTGTGAAATTATTACAGACTTTTTGCCGCTTTAAAGTGAATAAATTTCTAGGTTTGGGAGTACTTTCGTGTACTGGAAATGCTGGGTTGGAAAATCCATTAGATTAGTTTCCTATTAGTTGATTTAGAGTTGAAATTAGACTATAACCCTAATTCATCACATTTCCCTATCATGTGCTGTTTATCGCTAGTGTGTTCTAAAGACATTCTCATAATTAGTTATGTGGCAGTGCCTAGTCGGCAAATGCCATTCGATCTCCCGTCCAAATTATCGATAGTCACCTCGCCATATATATTCACCACAAGCAAACATTGACCGAGGTAATCGTCGGACGCGACATGTATCATATAGGCACGAATGCCACAGACACGCCACATGCCACAGTCACACTCTTTCCACAGCTGACATATTCGTTGAAACCACACCACCAAATAAATACAAAACATCAATGTGCTAATTTTATTAATAAGCAGGTCTTTGAATTTGTTTACAAAACAAATTTACCCATGATACAGAATCCTTTAGGGTCGCACCCCACACACAATAAACGCTCCCAAATCTATCGCAATATAGTGGCTTCTCAGCCTTCAAAAATGATTAATAACATCGGGTTCTGCATTGGAGGACAATTTCTCCAGCGCGTTGACCCCGGCCCATGGATACTGATGACGTACAGTCGTACACAAATTTGATGGCTAACAAACGAAGTTTCGCGATAATATGACATCTGGGATTGTTATGCTCTGCATTTTCAACACATTTCAGTATCAACGTAGAAAATTTGGCCTTGATCTTCCATTGTAAGTTCATATGTTTAATGCTTGAAGTGAAATCTTATGTTAGCTTCCTTTACTTCGTATATATAAATTTTCAGTACTTGATCTAAAGTTCGTTCGTTTTCAAACATCAAGCCACTTGTGCACTCGTGTGCCGGCATCGCTTAAATTCCCATTTTATAATTGAAATTCTACTGCAATCAACACAAGTAAATCTTGAAGCTATTAGGTTCTTTTAAAAAGTAATGTAGGTAATGTCTACAAAAAATCTATATTCAGGACTCACTAGTCTAAACCTGTTAAGAAGGAAGGCAAAGGAAGAAAAGAAGGAGGAAAGAATATGAAATGAAAAGAAGAAAAAAGTAAAGAAGAAGGAAATAAAATTAAGAAGAAAAGAAGAAGGAGAAGAAAATTAAGGAAGGCAAGACGTGAATTTCCACGCACGACACAGGGACACAGGGACCAAGGAGAGTCGGACGACGCAGCAGCGATCGTGCTGGGAAGTGTTTTCGTTCTTGAACTGATATTGATTGTACATTATGTATTGTCAGGAATATTGATGATACAAATATTTATTTAAAGTCTATTGCTTCTTGAACTGATAGTGTTTGTACATTATAATCATTACAATAATCATTTATAATATGGAAGATGTGAATATTCATTTCGAATAGTTTTACGATTGATAGGCTTGAGCAGACAGCGAGACGATGGGAGGATTGATTTGTCATGGTATCTCCCAGAATTAATTGATAGAAAATTCTCGAGACGTGGTGCTTCCTCATGATCTTGTTACCAGGGAAAAATAACAAAAAATACTTCATTACGCCTCCCCAGACATTTTAATATCAGTAATTTCCTACTAGTAAGTTAAGATGTGGCTATGTGAATAATGCAGAAATAAATTCGTTAATATATTTTTTATGAATGAAATTATTGATGATGTAATAAAATTCATGCATTTATTTTAGTGGTTCGGACTTCGGACCTGTTTTCATTCTAGTTTTCATTTTTACTGATACTCAACTTGCAACACTCAATAGTTTACGCATAATTCAAGTTGAAAGGTATGTTCCCGGAGAGTAACATAAGGCGGGTGGTTAAGAGCGGCCGATAATAGTAGAGAAGCTAATATTCGGTGAAAAGAGTCGAATTTACGTTAACAAGAAGTGGAAGTAATGCGAGATACAAAGCAAATTACATGAACCGAGACTTAGAATATATTTTGTTTTCAGCATACATATCACTTTTTGTTTTTCAATTCGTGCGTGAGTAATGCTGTACATGTTCATAATTACTGAAAATCTAACAATAATTAATGGGAATAATAAGGTGTTTCCGCGTATCTCTCCCGGAAACAAGATCAAGAAGTTACCCCTCGTTGCGATAATTTTCTATCAATCAATTCAGTGGAGACTATCACAAACTAATTCTCCGCCCATGACGCTGTCTATTCGTTCAAACGTATCAATCGTGTGATACTAGCATAGTGTTACACACTTAGTGAAGTTAATTGAAATAGATATTTATATCTTTATAGAAGTATAAAATGGAAAATTATTCATCCATATTATACACATATTTTCAAATTCCATGTAAGTTCCTATGTTCGTAATTAGAATCTGTCAATCTGATGTTGCGGTTTGGAGAATCTATGCGTAAAAAGCCTAAAAGGATGATACCGTGAGGGTGCTAAGAAATTTCGGATTCCTGGCCGAAGCGTAGATGCGGTATTGAAAATGAGGAAATGTCTTGCCCTGAGCTTGAAGCTTTATGTCTGTTGGTCGTCAGGGTTGCTGCTCCACTACAGAATACAGATGGGGTTGTTCCACGGAAGTGCGATTAACTCATGATATCTTTGCCTATATTATTGTTACCGCTCGCTATCATATTTTTATTTACGTGGATGATTTTATCGGAATGAAAATATATGTCATTTTGACACGACACTAAAGCTACTGAACACAAGGCAGTTTCTGAGAGCGTTTCTGAGAGCGTTTTGAGCTCCGCTGCTGTCCCTGCACTAAATTGTTTCACTCCATTCGGCTGTCCGCATTGTTCCCATCATTAAAAATGTTCAGGTTGCACGAAACATAGCATTTGGCGTCCTCGCAACATATCAAATGTTCAGACTCTGCACGAAACATGGAATTTTGAGCTTTGCACCGCATGCAACAAATTCATTTTACGCGCATTAATAACATTTAACTTAGATCTCCCAGGTTAATTTGAATAACTTAGATTACAAAGCTCATACATTACTATTCCAATTATTAATATTATTTGAAGTCACTGAAATCGATCAACACAATGAATATTTTCTTCGAATACTTTTTCTTAGAATAAATAATTGAAAAACGAATTGTTTATTAATTTCTTGTTCAGTTATTTAAACCTTCGTAACATTGCTTCCTTCTTGGGAAATGGAGATCGACCTCAAGCGCATTGCTCTCGCAATTTATTTAATTGAAGGAAAATATTGCAACTTGAGTCAATATATTGCAATATATATCTATATATTGAATCAATATAAATATTGCAACATAAGTCAAAACAGCAAAAATAAACTTTATTTTAATATCTGATAAAACATTGCATAATAAAGAATCGAAGCAGGCCAACATGTCTGACCAAAGCTGTCACAGTATGTGATATTGACGGCATTTTTTCGTCCATGTTGTTTCTCAGTATCTTGCAAAGACTCGTCTGGGGAAAGAGAAGATAACAATGCCCGATAAAAGCGCTGCTCAGACATCTGACGTATTTAATTTTCTTAAATGTTCAGCACTTCGGTGATTGTTATTTAACAAGGTTGCACCACGATTCTTTATGGGAATGGATAAGTTTGAACTGTCGAGAACTTCATCAGCTCTAACTTCATACACAGAATTTGATTTACCTTTGCATCTATTCACGCTCGAGCCATCGCATGAATTGCATGGCATGGTCGACCTCTCTTCTAAGAGGTTAGTTGACGGAAAGAGAACTGTTGCATTTGCACATATTAGTTGGGAGTTCTTGCCAGAAACAGCTTCCCAACTTCTACCAGGAAACACTGGCACATTATTAGCGTTAACCATTGACTTCATCGAAGGCGGACTCCCTGGAGGAGTAAACTTGTAACTAATTTCTGATGGCAAACCATCAAAGTTTTTCTATCGAGTTTTGATTGATTGGCAAACTCAGAGCCTGACAAGAGGCGTTTGTCACACTTGACTCAGGCTTAAAAGTTATAGAATGAAAATTTTTAAATTCAGAAGTTTCGTCATCACTCGAGCAGAAAATAGAGTTGTTTAGTGGACAAAAATATTCCGGTGTGGTACGAAGGGGACTCTACGAGGGCAAGTTCTAGAAGTAAGTTGTGCCCGGCCACGCCCTCTATTCGGTATCGGGCGGTTCTTTTACCTGGTCGCATTCTTGCCAATTTAAGAGAGTATATATTTTATATGTAATGGGAATGTTTGATGAAAGAAGACTTTGTTTAAAAAAATAAAAAATAATAAGACTCAAGTCTGTAAAACTTCACAGCGGGGAAAGAATGACAAAGTACTAGAGTCGCATATAAGAGAGGCGTTTACAATAGTGGTATTTTAGTTTACAATTGAATGATGAATAGTCAAATTGGTTCAAATGAAAACTACACAAACAATAGATTGGATAAATTTATTAATCAACCATTGATGATTAAGAAAACTATTTTCATAACAAAGTCAAGACAATTTCTGGAAAATTTATGGACTCGCCAGTTGCCAAACGTACAAAGACCCTCGAAGACACAAAAACTGAGGAGCCATTTCCGCCATTTGGAATTCGAATTGACATTAGCCCATTGATATAGAAACACCCTTTTGATGGCAAAAGCATGCTGGAATTTCATTAATTTCTTTCTATTGTCATTTTACACCCTACTCAATTCCAACTGCACCTCTTTTCCTAACAACACACATTGAACACACAAGCCCCTGTGCATGTGTGCCTTGTCTCATTCAAACTACATTTGCGTGTGATATGCGTTAGTCTTGCATATCACAAGGGTTGTGGGGGCTTGTGATGATGAAGGCTTGAATGAGCCTTCAGATGATGAAGGCTTGAATGAGCCTTCAGATGATGAAGGCTTGAATGAGCCCCTGTGCATGTGTGCCTTGTCTCATTCATAACATAACATAGCATAACATAGTGATGTCGGCTCTGAAGTGTAGGCCTGATGTGGCCTGTCGCCGATTCTTTTCCATTTCGTGCCTTGTTCATAGAATCTAAACTCGTGTCATTTGACCGGATCTTTTCATGACTTTTCAAATCACACTTGCGTGCTACTGACCAAATGCATAATACTATACGCTTATTTTTCATGCTCAACGCTCATTAGGCATTCTTTCTAGCAATACCCTGTTTTTACGGCCTCTTTCTTATTTCTTTCAATAAATAGATGTATCCTACCTCATACTACATTGAGGCAGCCAATGTAGTATGAGCTTCATATCAATATTGGAGCTTCAACTGACTGCATTTCCCTTCTTCTTGCATTTGGGTAGTACTGGAGATTGTAGATTCATTCAATTAGCTCTCCGACTATATAGGTAATTAGTTATTGGTACAGACATATTTTTGCTGCTAGTTAGAAATAAACATTTCTCGGACAAGTCTCTGTAGTCCGAGGTTAAGTTGAGACGACTTCGCAATAGCCGTTACTCCAGTTAGTGCTCTCTGTGTATGGGACAGAGACGTGCATGGGCAGAGAAGAGGTTGGCTCACAGTGCATTTCAGGCCTGCAACGGCAGGTAGTGCTTATCCGACTCCGGTTGCAGCCGCTACTGCGTCAGGTGTGTCTAGCAGAGTGCTATCGCTACAGACAAGAACAATAAGAGGATTTTTGTCATTGTGTTGGCCTATTACGCTGATTCATTCATGCACCTCAGTTTTATTTGCTTCTTTTTAGCGCATTTTCTCATTTATGGAAAAAATGCACTATTGTGCTAGCCATATTCGTCCGTCTGTCTGTCTGTCTGTCCGTCCGTGACTTCACGTTTTCGTCGACGAGAAAATGCGCTCTCTGTCACTCACTGCAGTGAGTACTGAGTTATATTTTTTTTCTAGCGAGATCGCGCCAGGCCAGTACACGAACCGTGTTTATACCGACATGCTGCTTGACGGTGAGGTGTATTGACCTGCAGCGATGCCTGTCCCTGTGTGGAGTGTAACCACGACAACGTCGTGGTTACAATTAATGAAAAACTCGTCATCGAATTCACGCCCGACGTAGATAAACCTCCTGTTTCGCATTCATACAGTTATTGAAGTTTGATTTTCTGTTTTTAAGCCATTACTACAAACAACGAGATTGCAATGAAAAAATTTCTCGGGGAATACGAATAGGGAAACCAACAAAAAAAACTTGTTTCTATATATCAGAAGATATAATTTTTCGGTATTACGCTCCTGATTAACGGCTATTTATTACATATGGAGATTTGTTTTACATTTTATAAATTCCAACCTATAAAAGAAGTAGCTCTCGTCTGTCCCGTCTTCCACTATATAGGCACTGTAGTGTCCACTGTCACTATCCAGTGCTGGCCGCCAGCTCGTAGCTATTGGAGTTATGCAGCAGTTGCTCATGCTGAGCAGGCGCGCGAAGTGTTATTCATAGCAGTGGTTGTGCTCATTGCCTCGGGTTAGCTATTCCAAATAGCAAAAAAATTTTCTGTGTTTTCGATTCTCCAATACATTAATGTTATAATAATTTGAGTAACGAGGTTAATTTGTGTGTTTAAGTGTTTCTCGCCGTTGATTTATCCAGCATGACGACTTTGCGATTTGCTACCGTGTTAAACATTATTTCATATTAGCCCCTAATGTTTAGATTTTTAGTACCTAGTACCTTTTAGTACCCTAGAAACTACTGCCCTACAACATTTGAAATTTGACATCAGCAACCAAGACCAGCGATGAGACGAAGCAAAATATTGAAAATCTGCTAGTTACAGTTTTGAACACGAATTTGCAATTTCGTGGGATCGGTAGCAAAATAGCTTACTACGCACCAAGTGCGATGATATGATTACATTGTTCTTCATTGACAGCTTTCAGTGTTTAACTTTAGTGTGATTAAAAGATTAGTGATTAGTGAAAGATTCGGCACTAAGCCGAATCTTTCGTTTCATGGAAGAGATTTAACAGAAGATGGCGTCCTTGGCAGTTGGAGCACCAACGTCTAACCTAACGGCCTGTTACGAGGTAATGAAAATATATCACAATAATATCGTAGGAATTTTACAACTTTGCCCCGAGTATACACGCAAAATTTTAGATATTGAGTGTAAGGACAAAAAAGACACCGAAAGTTATAAAGACTATTTGGAGAGGTCTGTAGGCAAACCCATCAGTAACACAAAGTGGAAAAATTTGTGTCGAAACTACAGTGAGACTTTTGCAACCGTCACAAATGTAGATACAATGGATATGACTGCTCTGTCGTCACTCTTTCAAATTGTCTTCACAGTGAAAAATGATAAAAGGGACAGCACACAACTACTAGAGAAGTTGAAAGCAATAAAAAACGTCAGAAATAATATCATGCATGATGACAGTTCTATGAGTGATGCAGATGCATTTAAAGCAATGACAGACAAAATGTTCGAGCTAATCGAAGAAGCTGGAAAGTTTTACGACTTTTCTCCGAGTGAAAGCAATGCCATGGAACAGGAGCTGAAACTCCGTATAAGCAACATAAACGCTGTTGATTGTAAAATGCAGTCGTTCAACATGGGATACGTTGTGACGGAAGGCCGAAGAATTGCCGAGTTACGGTTCAAAAATTTCATTCAAGAAGAGCTCCTATTCACGTCTGGCCATGTTTATAGGCCAGCTGTGTTCTATTCACCTGATGTGACGCAACAAGGGAATGATGATAGCCTTCTACCATATCAAAACATGTTCGCCAGTAGCGAGCTATTCTTGCTGCTTACTGGAGTTGCAGGGGCTGGCAAGACGACATTGATTAAGAATATAATCCTGCAGTTCACTGGATTGCAATCTGACGTCCCCAAATATCTACAACGTTACAAGTTACTTCTTTACATCGAGTGCAGGGACAGAACTAAGAAGACATTGCTTACAGTCGTTAGAGAACATTTTGGCGACGTGTGCACGGAACTCGGAGAAACCAATGTTTTGCAAATACTTCTTGCTCTCCCGATGCTAATTTTGGTCGATGGATTCGATGAGCGAAACAAGAAATCAAGTATAGTCCTTAATGAATTGTTTCAGAAAATATGGCACTCTGATTCTAGTGTCCTTATCACGACTCGACCGATGGCTGTCGATGATCTCAAGCAACTAATCGTTGGAAAGAACGGCACGTTTTCTGAGTACAAGATTGCGCCTCTCTCAGACTTGTCAAGTCAGTTGAAGTTCATCGATACGTATGCAGAAAGTCTAGTCGGTGACAAAGCTTCCGCAAAAGTCATACGTAAACTTTTTACAAAACTTGACTCGCAACTCAGGAAACTCTTCTCAGAACCAATGATGTTACTGCATTTCTACGACATAGCTTCAGAGACGCCTGACAAGGTGAGCAAATGGAAAAATGAAAATGACGTGGCAAAAGATACTTTCGAGCTATACAGAACTCTTCTGGATTCAAAGTTACTAGAAACAGTTGTCACTAACAGAGCAGTTCTAATTGATGATCTCTTCATGGCCATCGGGAAGTTGGCACTGGAATTTCTAAACCGTGACATGATTACCTTCACTAGGAGTGAATTCATGGGTTTCGAGCGTCTGTGTCACGATGGGACTAAGACCTACGGTGCCGAGAAGGAAGTTGACTCAGGAGTGGTTCTCTCCACAATGTTTAGAATGAACAGACCTCTTTCACGATCCGTCAAGACTACTTACTCATTCAAGCATAAATCACTGCAGGAGAAATTTGCTGCTCACTACGTTGCCAGGCAAATGCTGGAGCCCAATGAACCACTTGATATACTAATAGGATCGACGGCTACGAATGCAAGGTAGGTCTACATTGTACAACTTCGACAGTCAAGCATAAGACAACAACAAACAATTAAACTGTTGATTGATATATAATGTAGCTCATTCAATAATTTTTTCTTTTCATTACATTCTATGTTAACTTTAATGGATATAAATATAATTAACGCGACCGGAGTGTAGAAGCAATTTGTTTGCATCCACTACTCAACTCAATTAACGCTAAAACGCTTCTCATCATGAGTTACATACAGCCCGACGCAAAAGGTTAGCCCCACCCCATTAAAACATCATAACACATCGAGTTTTGCCAGTTTTAACGTGCAAATGGTGGCAAACGAATCGTCTTGGTCTCAGTAATCTATAGCAGGTGAAATTTGATGAAAAAGTTAATTACTGGCGGAAAAATCAAGCAGTCCGTGTTTTTGCACCGACGCAAAAGGTTAGCCCCACTTTGCAGTTTCCAAAATGGCGGGGGCAGTGTAATGGTGTGGGGGGCCTTTCATGCAAACGGGACGAGCGAGCTCGTCTTCCTCGAAGGCAACCAGTGCGCGGACGACTATATGTCCAAACGCTCGAGGACCATCTACTACCCGTCATCCGCCACCAAATCCGCCGCGGCGCCATCTTCCAACAAGATAATGCCTCAATCTATACGGCGCGCACGACCAAGGCCTTCTTCAAGCGTGCCAAAATCCGGGTTATGGACTGGCCAGCCAAGTCCCCCGATCTGAATCCCATTGAGAACGTCTGGGGGTACATGGCTGGGATCGTCTACGCCTGCAGGAAGCAGTATGACACGAAGGAAGAACTCGAGTTGGCCATTCAAGCCGCCTGGTCCAATCTGGACCTCAACTTCCTCCGTAGATTGTCTCAGGGCATGAAAAAGCGGTGCTTGGATGTCTACAAAGGCAACGGGGAACATATTGGTAAATAATTTTTAGTTTTGCAGCTGACGTATGTTTTGTTTAGCCTAAAATGTCAAAATGTACAAAGTGGGGCTAACCTTTTGCGTCGGTGCAAAAACATGTGTTTTTCATTTTCTCCGTTACTAATTACATTTTCACTACAGTCTATTGTATTTTGATTACTGTGACCAAGACGATTCGTTTGCCACCATTTGCACAATAAAACTCGCAAAATTCGATGTGTTAGGATGTTTTAAAGGGGTGGGGCTAACCTTTTGCGTCGGGCTGTATGTGCGTTTGAAAGCAAAGTATAATCTAGAATATTATGTGTTGGGACAGACTGTCGAATATTGTTCAAAAAGGTGTTTTATATTTCTGCGAAAGATGTCAAATAATACACTGAAACAAATCGGTGTGTAGAAACTACGCACCAAAGTGACTATCCCGGCTTGTCCCAAAACGAGTTGCCAAAGGCGACTAAAGCGCCCCTTAAGCCAGCCGGGGTGCGTAATTAAAAGCTACTTTTAGCGCGTAAATAGAGAAAGCCTCAGTGAACTTACCTCCGGCCGATGCTTCATATGCAGTATGGTGAAGGAAAATACCATGTATAAAATAGCGCATAGGATGAGAGAAAGACTGCTGGAAGTACATCATTTTATTAGAATACCACATTATGAGTATCGCGTCCACTATTGCTATGTCTCTGATGCTAAAATTGTAACCGATTGAGATAAATTTACATTCAAATTAATTACTCAACAATATAAATGTAATAATTCGTATGCAATATATAGCCTAGGATTTTAACGCACCCTTGGTGATATTACAGGGTAACAACTCCAAAGAAAATACATGGCATCTATTGCTGTATAAAAATAAATATTTATTGAAATTCCTGTACATGGCTTTTCACAACGCAGCTTTCTGAACGTGTCCCTTCATGTTGAGATATGACCGGAATTAGTTCTGTTTCATGTTTTATCGTGACAGTTACATTATATGAACATATTATTCCAATTAGCAGCATTATTAGACATAGTATTTGCATATTAATTCTCTTACCATCAACTCTCCGTTGGAAGAACCACAGCCGACCGTAGCAGGATTCGAACCCGGGCTCGCTGCAGCTGCAGCAGACCGCGCGACGCCTTAGTCCACTTGACCATAGCAGCACGCATGCGTTGTAAACTAAAATAAACCTTTTAACCTAACTTTCTACATCATGACCGAAAAGGCACTCATGTGCCTACATTTTGTAGATATCATTTATTTCTGTTATTCTTCAGAGAAGGGACAATTAAACTCGTGGAAAGTTTAAAATCACCATCATCTACCATCACACATTGCAGGTCGCGTGCTATCGTAGGTTTGCATTACTGGTAGCATGAAAAACTGATCGACGTTGTACGAGGTGTTGGCGTTTAAGCTTTCCTCGCACCGCCAATTAATACTTGACTTTATTTGGGATAAGTAGAATTGTTATGTAACTCATTTGCTAAAATCAAGTCTATGATAAGCTCCAGGTTAATCTTTTGGCACACTTTTTATATACATTATTAGAAATAATGAATAAATTTTAAATATTTGTCGATGATCTTTTACTTGGCTCACCAGTAACACAGACTGTGATCGAATTGCGGTATGTTTCATAACCAATATGACAACAAAACCGCCTCTGTATTCGAGGCAATAAAACACCAACGATGAAAACTATAAAGCATGTGAATGTCGTATGTGTGTTTAATCACTATTGCATGATATCTTCCATTATTTATATTATCACTATTATAAAGTTGATTTAAGCTATTATCAATTTTTGTTAACTAGTAAATTCGAACTTGCATGTAAATTTTCGGTCTTCCTTATTGGTCCTGCCATGACGTCATCCGTCTAGCTGCAGTGGTAGTCTCTGGCTGAGCGAAAAATAGAGAAAACGGCGTACGAACTATTGTGAAAACGGCGAACGAACGTTTCGGAATTATTCGTTTAACTACATTGAGCGTGTTAGCCAGGTGAGGTGTCTGAAACTAACGCACCGATTTGTTTCAGTGTACCATAGTATTGCGACGGCTCTAAGGTTCCGTTCCAACCGGTTCAATTACGAGTTATTTTTCTTGCTACACTATTTTGTTTATCTCTTCTTGCAAGTTTTCTCCCTCAATTACTCTCATTTAAAATAATGTCTCAGCTTGCAGGAAGTCATGCAGTACGTAATTCAAGAACTGAGCAGCAGCAGCCCACCAAAGTTCCGGGCGCGATGGCCCGAACTGAGGGACGCCCTTACAGCCGCCGGCGTCGTCAGTGGCATAGACTGGCAGAACGTGCTGCTCAGGAGCCCCGATGTCATCGAGTTGGCGAAGCACGCGGCCAAGATCACAATCAAAGAGACTAAAGAGTGGAGCGTGCATACCGGTGGGTCATATTTATGATATACTTCTTCATGACATCACTTATTATGATATACTTCTTCATGACATCACTTGAGTTGCGTGATTGCCAGGACTGAGAAGTGTTTTCTGCGCTACTGACGCCTGAAGAAGAAAGTTCTAGGCCATTCAAGAATCCAGATCGTCATCTTCTTCATCCTCCTTCTCTGTCTATTAAAATACTCGTGATCATGTACAGAGTGCTTAATTTAAATTATTGAATGTGGTCAAAAGTATAACTTATTGTATTGTTTACAAGATGAATCTTTCGTTGTTGCAAAGTTCATTCGGTTTAACTAATGTCTTCATTGAGTCCTGCGAATCTTGTAGGTTTTTAAGTTTTCTCTCGTACAATTTATGTTTTAAATATTCTCACAGGAAAAATTTATATGCCTGCGATCCCGGTGGGCGTGACGGAATTATGAATGCTTCTCAAATCAAGTGCGCAGGAAGGCTATGCATGCCGACAAATCTAGTAAACGTGCAGGCCACTAGTGCCGACAAGTAAAGTGAATGTGAACGCCACCCATGCCGACAAATAAAGTATACTGTATGTGAAGCCTACGCATGTAGATGAATTAAATAAGCGTGGAAGCCGCTCATGCCGACAAATCAATAGAACGCGAAGGTCACTCATTCCGACAAATAAAGTGAACGTAGCGGTCGTAGCGATGTTAACTTTCTCTGATATATATTTAGTAACATCAGGACCACATTTCTACAATTTCTATTGCAAGTCGTACCAGTTGTGATAAAGTAGAAACCATAACGAGCGTTAGCTGGCGAATTAACGCTCTCATATATATATAATTTTCAATGAACTTGCCAATTATGTAAGCTTAATTACGTTTGTATCATTTTGACTTGCGCCTTCACCACACAAAATATTGAGAAATTGCTCAAACGTAAAAGCATTATAGTATTCATCATATATCCAGCTCCAGTTTAAACAATTTCACTGTTTTCGTACATCCAACGCTGAAATTTCGTCTGACACTAAAAATTTAATACTTTCGGAATCTCTTCTCCAGTTCGCGATGTGTCGGCAGTGGCGCTATTGCTGCCTCACGAGCAACCTCAACTGATCTACGTACGCATGCGACCTGCCGTGTTGCGTTCAGTGAGCTACAGCTGGTCTAATTTGACACGTCATCATCAGCATCAGCTGAAGTTAGACTTGGAACCTGACGGACCGATGAGCCACGCCCCTTGTGACGATGTACTCGAGTGCCTTAGAGGCTCAGGGTCAGTGACGATAAGAATAAGTCCCCCGTCAGGGAGCTTAATTAATCTAGGGCATCAAAGAAGATTATTTTCAAGCCCCAAAAGCATCAGTCCGTTAAAAAAACTTATTCAACTGAATCAACGCTCTACATGGTTGAACTAGTAGATATCTGTTACGCATTCGACGCAATAATATTAAATTTTAGACTAAAAAATACGTTGTACAAAGAGAAAAATTAACTGATTTTTGACAACGTAAATGACATAATTGCATTCAAAGCGACTGGACTGACAAGCTTCTGTTTAGGTGACCTGGACGTGTAATGCTGACCAGAAGCAGATGTAGCATGTTTCGAAGGTCGTCTCTGTCTGTATTTGCTTCAGATATACTCTTGATCGCAGCCCAGAAATTCGCAGGGATGCTCCATTAACGCATATCTTGTTATTTTTAATTCAATATTTCGGGTTTCCGCCATTTAAACGTTAGGAATAAACAACATCGCCAGCCAAATCTGGTATAAGAATAAGCCCAATCATTAAGTTAAAATGTGTTGACTAAAATTTCGAATAAAGGATATTGTTCAAAGTTGCATTGAATCAGGTAGCGAATGGATATGAGAAGGCCTAATCACTGTTACGTATATGTGAAAAATAAAATGCAGATCCAGGTTCTAAGAATACGTTGTAACTTCATAACTATCTGAATTTGATTTCAACATTGCAACTTCCCTTTTACTATCGCTTTCAACCCACAGCACTTCGAAAATTTTGAAAACACATGAAAAGAGGATATATTTAAATATTACGCGATTGCCGTTCTCCAGCAAATGCATAACTATGCAAAATTTGAAGTAGATTAGATGAAATTCATTTTCAAGCAAAATGACTAACAGCTTATTTATTGTTTACCTCTGTCGCGTTCACTTGTGACGTATTATAGTTAAATTTGATTTTCTCTATTGAATAATTCGGTCTACCTTAGTAGTCTCCAGCTATACTGTTCAGTATTGAAAAAATTGCAGTAAAATTTAATTTGAATTGCAGATGTGATTTGTCAAATTAACTCATTTAGACCGATGCGAAAGATTTTTTTAGTGCAACGGGGCGAAAAGGAATACAAACAAAACTGACTAGATATAAATTAAGGCTAACAAATTGCATTATTGCAATCAAAAAGCAAAAAAAACATCCAGTATTGAAACTAATTTGTGCACTCTGTTGTTTGTTTTTACTATAATCACGGAATTGAATGTTACTAGCTTTGGAGTTTTCGTTCATGCATGAATCTAGAATGTCAAACACATGATGGTAGCCAAAGTTACATGGCATTTTATCCTAAGTTCGCAACTTCTATTGTCTTGTCATGAGCAACGGCCTTCGTGCTAGGCCCTAATATAATTATGTGAGAACAAGCAATTGAGAGCATTTAGTTTCACTCTCATGATGTTTATGAAATACATTTTGGTCCAAGATATGCCTGTTAACGGAACTTGCAGATGTCAAGAATCCGTTTATTTTCGTGTCAAAAAGCCATGTTGATCTTAGGCAGAAACTTAACTCCCCTCACCGACAAAAACTTTTAATACAGTCAAAACATGCTGCACAGCGTTCCCATTTTTGATCAAAATTGTTTTGGCATCTATTTAAGTGCTGTCAGTGCTCTTGGCAAGTAACCAAACTAATTTTGTCACGTGCAGGTGTCAGCTCACGGAGTTGTGGTCTTGTATCTGCAGTGCGTCTGGGGTAGACGCTGTGGCTTCTGCTTGCACGTCTAAAACCCAACTGCACATCTCCGTCCCCGGCCCGCTAAACTTGAACGCTCTACAAGGAAAATATGCGCGTCTGAGTAAGTGAAATCCCCTAGGTAATAGTAAGTAGCTATAAAGCGGCATTACGACTTGATTGGATAAGACATCAGAGTGGAAATTGAGTGGAAGTAACTAGTTCGTGCAGGTATCTCGAACCAGAAAAGGGGGATAGATGAAAACACTCTTCAGGGTCCTCCTGCACCCCATTCTAGAACACTGCCACTATAGCTTTGGGCGGCGTTCAAGGGGAGTGCGGAGCGGCAATTCAGCAATAATCGGGTCAAGATTCAGCAGAATACAGTAGCTGGTCTACTGACAGACTGGCAGTGGCTGACGCACTTTGGACTGCAATCATTTGGCACGAGAGGCTAGGAGAACATTATTCTGTACTCTTTAGGATTGTGCGTAATTCTGTACCAGACTGCCAGCTCTAACAAAGGAAGTGAGACCTTCAGAAATGTGACATATCACAGTTTCAGGAATTAGATGGCTCTGCAGATTCCTTCTAATGAACCGTCGAGCGGCAGAGTTCCTACTCATCGCAAGGGGTCTCATTTGGTTGCGACACCGAGACAGTCGCCACCAAAATAAGACCTTGAAGTGACAAGTGCGCGCGTTTTTGAGCACCATATAGACCATACGCCCCTGCCCTACTAAGGAGCTAGCATTTGGCGTCACTTCCCTAAATGAGGGGAGGTGCGCAGTTGCTTTGTTCTATGTTTCCCCTCGCGGGCTCCGATGGCGGCCGGCCTGCCGGTCGGCGACGGATCACCGTTATCCTGGCAAAGACGTCCACAACTCTACATTATTACTATTATAAATAAGGACACTTATTTATAATAGTTACATGACGTTTTTAGGTAACAGCAGATAGTTATCGTAGGTAAGGCATCTAATAATACTATATTCAAACTGAGTTCATGGATAAAAATCGAATATTTACGCTCCGGCAGTTGTGAACATTTGGCCGCTGGATGCTGCTTGGGCTGCCGTGCCTCAGCCATCTCTACTGGCGCCTCTACAGGAGGAGCACCGCGCTGTGATCGGGACCAAAGAGGTCGTCGCGGCCGGGGTGCGTCTGCCAGCTCTCCCACCGCCGTGGTTGTGGGTGCGCGGTGTCAAGCCCGGTAGCTGCGAGGCTATCGTCCGCGCCATCCGTACTATAATACCCCACACCAAAAGGTTATTTACTGGTCTTCTGCAAGCTTAGATGTAATGAAAAAATCCATTCCGTTGAATTCTTCATTAAAGATTTTGCGTTCAGATGGGGACTGCTTTCTTTGATGATCTGGCCGAGGGCACTGATTGGCAAATTATAATTAATTTTACTATTCGGCCAAATTCCTTCGAGCTCATTTAATAGTCCGTACTCAGACTGGACGACATCTCACTGCCGCTATGTGGTTTGAAGAAAGACGAGGTGAGGCTACTGTTGGAGCAACTTCACAGTGATGGCATCAGGACCAGCGTTGACGGCCAAACGCGGGTCACAAAAAACACGTGAGTCAGGACAAAAAACGGGACAAAAGTTAAATAAGTTATCGGTTTCTAGGGACAAAAACGTAAACCGATAACTAATATTGGCAAATTTGTTGATGCACAGTTAATAAATTGTTTCTACTCATCTCAAAAAAATATAATGTGTTTCTGTATAGTGGCTATGGGAAAAGGAATTCTTCAGATTTGCGACGGTTCTCGCTCACCGTCTCAAAGAATACGCCACGCGGTCCTCGTCGCCTCAAATCGGTCCATCCTTTGTGATGAAATTCAAATTTATTCATTTATTTTATCGGATAAAGCCGATTTCTTGATCTGTTAAACCTTCGTCGTTTAAATTAACCAAGGAAACAGTACCTTATACAGGATCCATCACTAGTTAGTAAATTAGTATTTAGTGAATTCAATTGCAGACAAATTTGGCTTTAGAGTCATTCAAAACGACAGCAAATAAAATCACTAGTATTTCGTGAACCGAAAATAAATATTTTATAAGAGTTCAATTCTTTTTTTTTATAATTTTTGCATTCTTTGTTTCCTAAATGATACTTGTTTCCTAGATTTGTTTCCTAAATTATATACTCTCTTATCTGTACATTTTTGAGATTCCATTTCGATGTGATGCTATAACTCTCGCAACGTCAGCCACCCGTTGCTCAACTGTGACGTCGTGACGCTCCACATAACGGACGACTGCGCTAACGGGACTGGGTGAGTGTCATGGGCCCTTACTAGGGGATCCAGTAAAGCTTGTGGTACAACCACATCCTTTAGGGTGCACGGAATAAACTAAAAATCCTACTCACCTAACCACATCCTGTAAAGCTGCACGGGCTAAACTAAAAATCCCACTCACCTAACCACATATTGTAGGCTGCACGGACTATACTAAAAATCCTACTCACCTAACCACATCCTGTAAAGCTGCATGGACTAAACTAAAAATCCCACTCACCTAACCACATCTTGTAGGCTGCACGGACTAAACTAAAAATCCAACTCACCTAACCACATCCTGTAGGCTGCACGGACAAAACTAAAAATCCCACTCACCTAACCACATCCTGTAGGTTGCACGGACTAAACTATAAATCCCACTGACCTACATCCAACCCAATCATGCCCAATGCGCCTTTCTCATCTCCTACTGTTCTTTCCATTTACGCTTCCCCTTTCTGGCCACTCTGCGCCACCTTTTGTTCTCTTCCACCCCTTCCAATACTATTGGCCCCGCAACAACGACAATTGAATTAGTTACGTGTTATGGGTTATGCATGATTTTTATTACAAGGCTCGAGTGAAACCGCAGCTAGATGGCAGTATTGTCTAAAGTAGGTAAGTGTTTTCATGAGGCTGACCTGCCTCCTGTTTAAAGGCCAGATGATGGGGTACAATTGCCAGAGCTCCTCCCTGGAGGCAGTTGGGTTCCTTTTTAGTACGGCTATTAAACTTTCCCCCTCCAGCTTTGCGGTGAAGTTAATCGTTGAGGAATTAGAGGTCATATCTTTACAGTATATTGTGTGAAGAATTTTAGTTACTGCTGATAAATAATGTCTGCACCAGATTGAATGTTCAGCTTGGCCTAGAGGCGTGGGCTGTAGTCAGTAATTATTGCAGGACAGCGAATGGCGTGAGCAAAGTCCTCGCGCAGCTACAGTCTACTAACATTGGGAACTCTGAGTCTCAGTGGACGGAAGTGCTGGACGCAATGCAGGAAGCCGGCGCCTCAGCACGGGACTGGCGGGAGGCACTGTTATGTCGCCCTGGCGAGACAAAGTTCGCCTTCCAAGCCGCGGAGACTACCAAGATGGAAGACAAGCAATTTACTATAACGAGCAGTAAGACTCTTGTCCGTATTGACCTTGTAGTAAACTTAAAAATGTACATGTAGCTGAAAAGAGGCAGATTTAAGATTCCGTTCCCGTAATAATTCGCTAGTTGGAAGCTAGCAGTCAAGCGTTCACCATTCGATCTTCATACTCTAATTTCATACATATATTACCTTGTCCGTACCGTAATTTCAGGCTACTTTTTTTGGTCCATATAATCCATTGCACCTTGATTGCTATTTACTCTAACCTGGTGGTGGTAAAGTCGTGCAATGCGGGTTGTAACTATAAAAAACGAGAGGTGGGTTGATGCGGGTTGCACCTATAAAAACGAGAGGGGCGAAGAGCTGCGCAGTCAGAGGCTTGAAGAGTGAAGTCAAGCGTCGTCTCCGGAAAGCTAGACAGCGGGCACAGAACAACGTCGCAACATCGGATTTCATCTGCGCCAACTGCGGTCGGTACTGCCATGCCCTAATCGGCCTGGCGAGCTACTCAAGACGCTGTTAACAGCGTGTTGTGCGGTGACAGACGTAACGCAGCCACCATCTTTCGAGATGGACGTATGCCAATGAATTCATTTCATCAAATTCATTATACTAGATTCATGCACCTTCTGCTCCTTTTCTCATGGTTGTGGTTCAAGTTAGCAATGCTACTAGATCAAGACATGACTTATGTGCATGTTTATGCCAAAGCAAGCTATTGTACTGCAACCTCAATTTAAAGGTAATACAACAGAGATTTTTAAAAATTGTGTTTCTCCTACAGGCCGAGACTTGGATGCGGTTGCACTGATGCTACCTCACGCCCAAGACACCACCGTGATGGTAAAGGCATCACTAGAAGCTCTGAGAGCACCCGGGTGGCAAGAGGTGGTGCGGTACCACCACGGTGAATTGAGGCTTCGTCTCCCACTCATGAGTCCTGGGTTTCAGCCTTGTGATGACTTGCTCGAGTCTCTGCTGGGCAGCAGGTAGGAAAGCCTGCATCTTCATTTAATTCCTACATCTCTTACTGCACATCACAAAGTGGTTTATGAGGCTGGAATTTTCACGAAATTAGCCATCATTGATGATAACTGTAATTTTTTCAATTTTGGAATGAATAGAGCATTCTAATTTTAGTATATGAGCAATTAATGAAATGAGGAGGACAACTTCGAAGGAATGGTCTTTCAAAATATTTTCTGTGAATAGGTACAATTATAAGGAATCTTCCCTTCGCAACAAGAAAGACACAATTAGAAAAATACCTATGCATTCAGTAGAATCGTTTTAAATGATTTCAGGTACCAATAACCACGGTGGCGGGATTATAGGTCTGAGTTGGGTTCTTATACGGTCCTATCGATATATTAGCGCGACATAGTATCACGTAGTTATAGCATCGGGATTATCAGGCGACTATAAAGTCAGAAAGGATATTCTGACCAGAAACTAATTTTGATCGGGTGGCCATGCAGACACAGGATAACTTTGCGCATGGTGTAGCGACTATTCGGCCGAAGCTTTTTAGGCGGTCCACGAATTTTGTTAGGGATACTGATAGAAACAGAGCGCGCTCCAGTTTTCAATATTTAATTTTGTTCTTTTTCAGATAACGTGTATCATGCTCTAATCCTAGCTAAACTTCCCTTTATTACATAGAATCGAATTTGTATTTACATCGAATTTACATTGCTCCAAAAAGCGTTTATTGATAGTTATTATATTTTTGACACTGATTATACAGCTCATAACTGAGAATCCCCTGTGGTACATTAACTTTTTTGCTTCTATTCTCTTTAAGATTAATATTGTATAGGGACTCAGTGACCGGCAAACAAAAACCGAACGACCACTTACGGGAAGTGGAATCTATGCAAAATTTAATTCTGTTATTCTCGGAAAATACCATATATTGTTCTTGAAATCTGTGAGCTTTATTCATATACAGCCATTAACTGGTACCAGATGTCGCATTCAGCCAATAGTTTTTTCACCTTTGTTTTCAATAGTTTACATTAATTAACGAGCTCATGTGCGCTCTAGATTCATAATTTTATGAAAGACTCGACAAATTAATGTCCAGTTTAGTATTTGAGTCTTCTTTTTCAGTGGAGTTCGCTGCCTGAAACGCCATGCGAAAAATATTTTGATGCTGCGATATGTCTCTCAACAGTTTGATAATGTTTATGTTCGTCAACAGATTTATATGCTGAAAGTCTAAATATTATCCTTCATTCTGGTTGCAGCGATACAAATATAATAAATTTGTGCAGGTCAAAAATAACAAGTTTTGTCGGGAGCATAAAATCGGCTGCAGGCGTCGCCTCGCTGGCAGCAGCCGCGACCTCAGCGCGTCTGCGTATCAGGCTGGAGGCTCCGCTGGACCTCAGTCCACTGCTGGGCAAATATGATGCTCTTTGTTAGTTTATTTTCATTTTATTTCAAAATTAAACTAACATTTTGTTAAAAAAATTAATTGGTTGAAATCAACAATATCAACAAATCACGAGTGTTGTTACTTACACGAGTGTTGTTCTGTGTAAGTTTTGCATCGCGTTGATTTTAAATAGGCGTTTTTCTGGGAACAATATTATATCACCTAATTATTTTTTCACAGGCTATTTTGCTGATTTTTCGCAGACGCTAAACCTAATGCAACATGAAACTCAGTGAGATTTATGTACTCACAAAACAATAAATATTTCTTTAAATATTTAGTGAAATACTCCAAAAATTAAACAAAGGAATTTAGTATTACAGATTTTTTAAGTAGAAGCTTATTTTAGTCGCTCGATGATCTCACAGTTCATTGATGTAAAGTTACGACAGCAGCCATTTGAGCATAAAAGTAGGATGCGAGAGAAACGATTGTGCAGGCTGTTAGAGCATTATTTGGCTGCTGAAAATGTCACGAAGGAATCTGCTCGTTATGGAAAGAAGACTTAGCCGTTGTACTGGTGGCAAGAGGCTTGATGAGTGAGTGGCTTGATGGCTCATACCCCTTATGGCTGTTTTGATTGACTTTTACTCATGATTATTAACATCTGAATGTAAGTACTGAAAAATCGGTTTAAGGACGAGATTCAGAATCAATATTTTCCATAATAATATACTCACTCATTGAATAGAATGTTGAAAAGAAATATTTCGCAAATAGGTTCTTTGAAGAATTGTAGACAGAGTTTTATTCATGAAGTTCAGACACTTGAAGGCAATGGATATAAAAATACCATATAAAGTTTGACAGGAGTAAAAACTTTTAATTACTGTTGCGTGAACAAATTAGTCTCAGATATTTTTATTTGCACTAAAAATGGTTGTCCTCATGATCAATAGAAGCACAAATGTGCTTGTAGTAAAATAATCATGATTATGAACTAGCTTATACCTTGTCGCTTGTGTGGAAACACCTCACTGGTTTATTTAGAGCTGCCATATTAAATGCGTAGAAAATCGGTCAACCTACTGTATCCACGCCTTAATTTACCTTGAACAGTAGTTTGTTTTCACACATTTGCCCATTAACAATACCTGTAAGTCTCATTTTTCTACATTGTATTCACACTTTAGCTCACATTTTAATTCATTCATAATATTACTATAGCACTGAGATTAACAGCCAAGACCCAGACCAGTGATTGGTTTTCACACGTGCTCGCACACTAGCATTCAGGAACTGAGACACGATTAGGAATCGAACATTGCTTCCTACTAACTCTCACAGTAGCACATACACTAAAGCGAATTCAGAGTAGCGTTCAGACATGCGGCCAGACTCGTACCCAGACAAAAAGCTATATTAGCACATTGCCACCTGGCAATGAAAACCCGAAAATCAGTCCAGAGAAAATGCGACTAAGATCATAATATTAGCGCCGGAACGTGCGCAATTTATTAAACTGACCCCATTGACATGAATGCATTACCAATTACATTGTCATTCCGCGGGCGCTTCTTGCTGCTATTTCTCCTCATTCTCATACGCACATGATTGCGGGGACGGTTCGAATGGCGTATTATGGCCATCACATGTCGAATATAACAAGACCCAAGATTGTAATTGGCAAGATAACAATATAACTTTCCCAACAGTCATTTATACACCTGTGATCGGCACTACCGTGGCTGCAGTACCACTACCAAACACACCTCCTCCTTGGCTGGTGGTGCTACGACCGCCGGCTGGGAGCTGGGAGGCGGTGGCCCAAACTGTGCTAGCTTATGCGCCTCGCAGCAAGAGGTAGAAGTATATCTTTTCTGATGTGGACCTGATATTTATAATAAATTCATATTCAATTGACTTTCTTGTTATTCTTTCAGCGCAAATTAATTACTCCTTCACTTCATAAGGCAACTTTAATTCATTGTAAAGAGACGATCACAGATCGTCATTTCTGTAGGATCGTTCACTTATTAGAAAAAAATGTACGGCTAGAACAAGTATCGCCAAATAACCATCATATGCATTTCAGTACGGAAATCATATGTATTTCAGTTGATTTGACATCATTGTCTCTGTTCACATATTCTATATTCCATTAAATCTCATCATAGGTACAGCAACATTCACTTGGTTAGACCAGCGCTGAGCGAGAACGAGGAGCGGCGGCTGCTGGCGTTGCTGCACGAGGAGGCCATCAGGACCGACGACGCGGGCACCACGCGTGGCGAACCTGACGGGTGGGAATCTGTATTTCAAAGACGGCAACTGGGAGATTGTTTTTAGTTATATTAACATTAATTTAGTCATTTTGCTACTTTTTATCTTGTTTCTCTAGAATTTATTAACATGGGTTATGTGTCGTGGCTCTAACCCTTTAGCAGCGTGACAACCTCTAGACTTTAGATGCAGATTCTTCGAGTTTTACGTCTCGAGTCACTGTAACAACAAAGTTCATTTATTGCAGAGAAGGCAAGCGATGTCTCCATATCTGCGACGATCCTCCCGCGACCTCGTGTCCGTGACCTAACCTTGCGGTCAGGAACGCTTCATCGAGCTCTGGAAGGTCACCCAAAGTGCTCAATGAAAAAATAAATATAGAATTTATTACTAAAGCAGAGCAGCTGTATGAGAATGAAGCAGTATAATGCACAGCGTTTGTGTACAATGTTATGCTGCTCGTCGTGCAGAAGTTTCACACCTAAATTCAAACTATTCTTCGTAGGCCAGCCAGTGCAAATTTAAGGCCCATGCAGACAACTCAATTTGATTGCCTTACTTTATTTTTGGACATGAACCCGCACCTTACTTTCAGCTTTTATTCCTCTGAGTGGTGCATTATTTCTCCATGATAAATTCCAAGTAGCCAGTAAGTAGTAGCCAGAAAATGGGAATATTTTCAGGTCAACTGATCTACTTCACTGATAGGACTCTATTTTGAATTGTACGTTTGAATTTTACTGTTGCTAACCAAATGCGATACAGACAGAATTTTATCCAAAGAGCTATATATGCAGTCGAAATGCGCTCAACATATACCAAATATATGTCTTTGCAATATATGAGTAAAATTTTGAAACAACTTCTTGTTTCACGGACTTTATTTCTAATACAATTTATCCTGAAGAAAAGCTACTTAGACTGAATCCGAAGTGAGAGACTTTTGAGCTCCAAGAAAAATTCAGGAAGATTACATTATTTCTGCAAAAAGACATTTGGCTCATATTTACTTTTAAAATAATTTTTTAATTGTCAAATTCCCGGTATTTATTTAATTTATTTTAAAGATAGATATTCAAACACATTAGAACAACGATAATAAACTACCGTAATAGTAACTGTCACGGTTGACCGGTGTCGGAGAGAAAATGGCAGAAATAGGGTTTATATAAAAGAAAAATATATCGTACGATCATTACAGTCATGATTGATTCGAAGGTTACATTACGTCTCAGGTCCAAGAAGGAGTTGACAGGTGAGATGACTTGAAGGCCGTTTGCTGCAGCATAAAAAAAATTGTGATATTAGATTTTAATCGGGTTTAATATTTCTCGGAAATGAAGTAATTTTCGCCTATTATTCATCCCACTTACCAAAATTTCAGAAAATTTGTTTGCATCCATCAACCAAACTAATGCTAACTGGTAACCAACTACTGGATTTGGTGAGAGCGTGCACCTAATGGCTAACTGCCCGAGTAGCGCGGTTGGTTTGATCTAATAAAGCATTGGATTGCCATTACAGGTAATCGGGTATTGCCATGTCACCTGTCAGTGACGTGGCGGCGCACTTGAAGCGCGCATTTTAAAGAAACGCTTGTACAAATAGAAGTGTCGGCGCTGAAGAAATAGGTAGGTCCATGGCCTGTTGCCGATTCTTGAACTTTTCGTGACTTGATTCACAAGGGATCCGGCCTTTGGAACCCGATCTTTCCATAGCTGACGATTGATTGAGATAGGTATTTAACTTTTCTCTGCCTGTGGCGGTCACAATTTCAAAACAGATTCAATTTTTTTAATATAATCTATACTGATATTTTATGGTGCTCAATTATGTAGTACAGTTGCTGAGTTGCAGAATGTAAGCAATGTGAACTAAAATTAATATGCACTTAAAAATTACTTTTAGAGACAACACTTGTAAAGAATCCAGTCCCAGACTCCCAGTGTCTGATGTAGGTAGCTAGCCCTACCTTAACCTACATGTGTGATGTGTATAGCCTAGCCTTACAAAATAGGCTACAATGAATTTCTAATTTTATTTTCGAATTACCTATTTAAAAAAATATTAACTTGAAAAGAAATTTTAATATACCTAGCTAGCCTAGGCCTATTAAAAAAATTTATTTTTCAAAATTATTTATTCTGTTGAATGTTGATTGATTCATGCAAATGATGCAAATCATGCAATGTCTCCACTCTGGCCATGGTCAGGAAGATGTGCCAGGTGTGCGGGAATTTATATTGTCATTTTAAAGACCTGCGCGGTGCCATGGTCAGGAAGATGTGCCAGGTGTGCGGGAATTTATTTTGTCATTTTAACGACCTGCGCGGCATAGTGGCAAAGCAGATAATTTTTTAGACTTGATCTCAAGTTCATTTTTGAGTCCTATAAGTTGACCAGTAAAGTATCATGGATACCAGCATTAGCTTACTTAAGAACATAGTGGCAAACCATAGCTTTTTTAGAATCAGTTCATTTTTAATTTCCTCATTTACCCAAGATTTAAATCAATTTCTAATGTATGATACAGCTGGTAAGCCTGGTATCCAGGATACTTTACTGGTCTACTTATAGGACTCACAAATGAACTTGAGGGAGAGTCTAAAAAACTCTCTGCTTTGCCACTATGCTTAAGAAATTGGTTAAAATCTCAAGTGAATGAGGAAATTGAAAATGAACAGCTTCTAAAAAATCTCTGGTTTGTCACTATGCTGCGCGGTGCGGCGGGTGCGCCGTACTACGTTGGTAAAAAAATGCGCAGTGCGCCGTACTTTAGAAAGCTAAAACAGTTCTATTATTTTAGTCGACAATATACGTGACTACGTGAGTATATTGACTACGCGAGTTGAACTGAGTTCAACTGACAATAATAAAATGTAAGACATGTCCGGGTTACTTCTGACTCTTCCGGTTGTCTGCCTTTTTTTCTAAAATTCAATAATCTCTCTTCCAGCAAAGTTTGCGAAATTCATTAGCTGCATAAAATACTCTCTGCTGTGGTGTTCGAGTTCCGGTTGACACGAAAACTTGCGGTAATCTTGCGGTTCCAAAAATGGCGGGAAAGCTCTAATCACGCGGCTCTGAAGGCAATTCATATAAATAATAATATAATCTACGCCTACGCTGGAGGAAGTTCAAACTTCTGAGGTGGAACTAAATGCAGTAAATTTGCAGTAAGTCAGAAAATACCAGAAAAATACCAGATTTAGGCATATATACCAGATCTAAAATATTCATACCAGACACCTTTTGAAAATACCAGATTTGTGAAATCTGGTATAGAAATATACCATCTGGCAATGCTGGTTTAGCGTTACTTGAAGTCATCTACAGACGATGTTGCCATTCCATTCAGATGAAAACTGTGTCTAAATCAGAACTGTGTCGGACGGCTCTGCGGCCCGCGCCGAGTGCTGCGCGGCGCGGAATCGATGACCGTGATTTGCACAAACGCCTGCACGAAAAAAATATAATTAGATTGATTTACGCAAGAAATTTACCCGTTTATATACATCTTCCTGAGTGTGACACTCTGGCACTCTCCAACACCAACTTTACACAAGTGTGCAAAATTTCAGATTGATTAGGTATAGGTATTGGAGAGGTAGATATTTGTTCAATTTTTTGTTGAATATTGATTTGATTATAGCCTACCTAAGATTTGTAAATTGTAGCAGACAAAATTAGGGTAAACGCGGTATATTCCGACATCGTGGGTAATTCCGTCACCTCTCTAGTTTTTCTTTTATATTAAGCTTTGTTTTAGTTCCATGCGTTCGTTGATGGTTGAAATGGTGACGTCATACATTTGCGCGTTGAACTACTGCCAAAACACTAGGTCTTGGCCATCTAGCGGGAAAATATTGAGATCCAAAGAGAGACAATGCACACTACCCAGTGAGATGATGAGATCATTGAAAAATGTGTCAAATTTGACAGTTGACCTTGCTCTACCAAATAGTGAATAACTGTTTGTATAGGAAGAATATTATGGTTTGAGACTTAAATACATCTGTGAATATATTAGGAATCCTTTAATTACAACACTTCTCTTTAACTTCACTTCTTGTTTGTCTGTCTGTCTGTCTGCTACAAATCTTGTAATCAAAATTTAATACACTTCTACTTATCCTATCGATCTGAAATTTTGCACACTTGTGTAAAGTTGGAGACAATGCATGAATCAAATGTCAAAATAAAAGATTTTAAATATTAAAAAAAATTTTCTTTCAATATTAAAAAAATTGAAAAAATAATTTTGTCAGCTACAAATCTTATAACTGATATATGACACACTTATACCTGTCTGATTGATCTGAAATTTTGCAAACTTGTGTGAAGTCAGAGGCAATGCATGAATCAATTAATAGAATAAATAATTTTGAAAAAATTATATATTAAAAAATTTATATATTAAAAAAAATTGAAAAACTAATTTTTTAATTTTACGCCTCACCACGTGCTGAATATTGCCACACACAGTGTCGGAATATAGGGATTTGGTAGGTTTGCATTCTAAAGGCTTTTAAATAAATATGGCAACATTTCGTGACGTTTCATCGTTGCTGGCGCGTAGTACGGTGTTTTGCGAGTCACATAAAGCAAACAGAACTCGAGTAACGCACACGGTTATTTTTTTATACCAGTAGTTTTTCATTTCTTGATGCGTCCTTAATGTGTCGGAATATACCGCGTTTACCCTAGGTAGGCATAGGCTACTAAGGCTAGGCCTACTACCTATGCTGTTTTGATGCATAGGCTATGCATCAAAATTTTTTTCTGATATTAAATTTTTTTTATAATTCTTGAAATTAGTATTTATTCTGTCAATTGAGTAATCAGTAATGCATTGTCTCCATTTTTCCAAGACTCCAACTTTACAAAAGTGTACAAAATTTTACATCAATTCATTTGATTGAAGAGGTAGCCTGGTAGGTATAAAGACTATAAGTAGCTAGGCTATGGCGCTATGTTGATTATTAATTAGGCTATGAGATTTGTAGCAGACAAACAATTAAAACAAATAAAGTAATAAACAACAAGAAGTGAAGTTTAAGAAAAGTGTTGTAAAAACTGCATTGCAACTCATCCATCGGACAAAATTTCTTCTCGCTTCGAATTATCAACATGTGAAACAGCCTCTACTTGCCACTTGGTCCCTTCAACAGGGACTCCTGCATCTTGGAATGATTTTCTTGAAAAGAACCGGGAGTCAGGACAAATCAAATGGAATGAGAAATTACCTACCAGGACAAAAATAACTACAGGTTAAAATTTGTCCTGGTATAAACATTTGAACCGGGACAACAAAAAAAGACAAGACTTGTGTCCCGGACTTTGAAACTTTTGTCCTGGTAATTATGAAATGATACAATCTTGACAGCCTCAGCCACTGTGCAGAAAGTGGTGAATATTGCAAGATCTTTGGTAATGCGTCAGAAGCCAAATTTATGACTTCAAAAGATCTTGCCAAGGCATTTGGATTGAAATTCTTTCATTCTAGATATTCACCAGTCTAGCCAACTATTTAGAAAATAGTTGAAAATCTGAAAGACTGCAAGGGGCGCATGCAGTGAATAACGAAAACAATAACAATTCTAGAATTAAGCAATGGTTGCTACTTCCTACTTTGCTAGAATGTAGGGTTCATGTCTAATGTCTTTACAATAGCTTTGTTGATATGAGCACAGCACCATTTCTTGGCGGTCCGGAGGGCAGAATCGTGTCGAGACTCACTCTACTTTGCTGCTCTCTCAATAGATGGCGCCTGCACCCAGCACCCTCTGCACCCTGGGAGACAGGTATAAATGAAACAAGAATTAATGTAACAAGACAAGACATACCCCAAATATTTGCAACAAAACAAGATGGATTAAGGAGTGCTTCTGATGGCAGTTCTGAGTGAGTGGTTTATGGAATAACAAGTTAGCTCCTGATTGTTAATGAGCAGTTGCCTGTCATTTGCAGTCACAGATGTGGCGACATTTAACTGCCAAACTAATTTGGCAGTTAAATTAGTGGGCAAATTAGGTAATACTTGGCTGAATATCAAGTGAATAATGTCGCTCTGTCAAGCCTTTAATTGTGCCTTACTCAAGAATTCTACAAGTTCAGTCCACGTTCCATATGAGTTCAGGCGCGCATTGCAAGTTAGTGACACATTGTCACTAAGTCCGACAATTAGATGACTGTGGAATGGTTCCCTTTTCTCTAGTCATGTAATATGCCAAGGTGGCAAGGGTCTGGGGTCATAGGCAATATTATTCTATCAAGTCAACCAATGTCATCAGCAAGTGTGGCTTCCTCTCAAACCTCTGAAACTACAAAATGTATAGCATGTGCATGTGTCCACCACTTATCACAAGATACCCGAGTCCAAGTGGAAATAAACAGAGCTGGGCAGCACTACTTTGAAATGTAGCAGCCGCTACTGCTACACCCACTAGATTGTAGCAGATGCCACTGCTACCGCTACAGTAAAATGTAGCGCCACTACATTAGCCGCTACAATGGCCAAAATTATTGGAAATCTCTAAATATATATTGTTTTGCTACTGGGATTTACTCATTAACATTTAATGATAATAATACATTTTTAGAACATATAAATGCAACTTTATTGCAGTTAACCTAACTGAACTAGTATGGGTTAGATACAGTAAATAAAAGTTACATTTATTTTTATGTTTTACCTTCCCTACATGGATGTCTACTTTAATCTACCAATCTCAAAAATTTTCCACATATACATATAAAAAATCAGTCTTTTACTTGTATATATGTGGATTATTTTTGAGATTGGTAGATAAAAGTAGACATCCATGTAGGCAAGGTGAAACATAAAAATAACTGTAAAAATAACTGCAAGCAAACTGAAACATGAAAAAATACCTGTAAGTGGTAACCGGTAACAACTTAACAAGTAACAACTAACATGTTGACTCTAGTAACAGGCTGATATTGACAACATTATGCCGAAATCTTTTTTACAGTTTTTTTCTGTAATTTATATTATGTAAGTATCATGCTGGTTTTTGAATAATATATAATACTATTAAGTAAAATCTAATGGCTTTATCTATAAATGTAGCGGTAGCGCTGTAGCGGCAAAACCTCGTATCGCTACTTAAATATGTAGCGGGTGCTACCGCTACTGCTACAATTGCTTAATGTAGCGCTGCTACCGCTACTGAAAATTTAGTGGCTGCTAGTAGCGCGCTACTGCCCACCTCTGGAAATAAACCAAGGGCTGTCACTCGAGACCCTGTTGCTGGACCATCTACTGCTCCAACTGATGGACCTTATCTAGTGGAAACTTGATTAAATTAAAGACTTACCCAGACTTAAGATATTTTTAATGTGCATTAAAGTATAACATTGCAAGTGGAAAAAAAAATTCAAATTTTCATTATAATTTTTATTTGCCTTAATTGTCAGGAATAAGTGTCATGTTAATTTACAATATGTAGCAAAAACAATCTTAATTGCCAAGCCTGATCAAAATTGTCAATGAATACATCTCAAGTTATTGTACATGTCTCTAAACCAAAAACAAAGTCTACATCCCATCATTAAGTGATTCATCTCATTATGTCCCATTATAAAAGATATAAATTCTGGGAAATTTTAAACTTTGTGCACTGGGCAACATAGAAAGAAAAGTAATTAACCTAAACTATGATTTATTTCTTCTAAAAATATGATGGCTGGCACTCAAATATTCCTTTCTGTTTCAGGTACCGTTAAACGGGACCTAAAGGTGTAGAAAGTGCAATTTTGGAAAAGTACCTCTGCTAAGGTCTGTAGCAAAAAAAAAAAAAATTATTTGCTGTATGAAAAATTTTACTTACATACTTGAAAGTTGCACACTTGTGTTGGCTTAAAAATGTGATAAAAACAGAATTTGCATATCTTTTTCCCAAAAAATGGTGGCCATTTCAGCATGGCAGAGTAATAAGGAACACCCCTCCAGGGGTAATAAGGGACACCCCTAAAAAATCATTTACAGTAGAACCTCAGCTAGCAAAGGCTCCAGTTAACAAAAAAATCAAATAAAAACAAAAAATTTTTATTTTGATCAGATTTACCTTGCTCAGCAAAAAACTTCTCTTAACAAAAAATTAATGTATCATCGGTCATCACAAAATTGTGCATAGAATGTGAATGTCATAGATAGATTGTGCACTGGGCAACATAAAATGAAAAGTAATCAACCTAAACTATGATTTATTTCTCCAAAAATATGATGGTTGTCACAAAAATATTCCTTTCTGTTTCAGGTATGTTTTTACAATCTTTTTTTTTGTTCTGGTGAATTCACTTGACCCAATTAAAATGGTGTGAAATTAGGTACAAGCCATCCTGAAAGCTTACAGGTACAGAAGAAATGCTACATGGCTGCTGATATGAAGCTTGCAGTGGACAAGGTCATTGTAAATGCACAATGGCATGTCCATGGATAAGGTAATATCACATCAATAATATGGTCATGTATGGACATGGTAATATCATGTCAATAAAGGAAAAACGAGTAAAGATCACAGAAAATGTCATCTATTCTACATCTACATCATCTACAAAGGAAGAGGAGGACTTCAGAGTACTGTTAGTAATGGATGAGTAGTATTTCAGTAACAACCATCATATTTTTTTAAGAAAAAAATCATAGTTTAGGTTAATTACTTTTCATTCTATGTTGCCCGGTGAACAATTCTATCTATGACATTCTATGCTAAATTTTGTGATGACTGATGAAACATTAACCCTATACCGCCTGATTTTCTGGGTCAAAAATCGCATATTTCACTTCTCAGGTTTTTAGTCTCACCTTAAAGCTGACATTCTGACCTATCAATGGTACCAAAATCATTTCTTTATGTTGATTTATGCCTTAATGACAGATCACGAAAGGATTAGGGGTGGGGGAGTTCTTTCACATTTAAGATAGGCGAAAATTACTGGCTGGGCACATAAAGAGACGGTCTGAAGACGCTGATCTTTGGTTATCCGGCTGCTGTCGTGTGGGATGGTGCTCATGCAGTCGTTCCACCATCCTTGACTGAATTTCAGCTCCAGTAATGTCTAGTCTTGTATCCATGCCACCTTGAATGCCTATTTTGAGGCGCTCAGGACTTTGTCGCATTAAACACTATCATAGCTTTGTTAATTTTGTTGTATTTTCCTGTTCCAGGTTTTTATATTAGGAAAAATTGTTAAGCCAGTATAACTCTTGAAGTCCAGTGTAGTATTTTTTTCAGCATTTTAGCAAATAATTATCAACATGAAGGCTCTAATCCTTGTTGGAGGGTATGGCACTAGACTTCGTCCTCTCACTCTCAGTCGTCCAAAGCCTCTTGTGGAGTTTGCCAACAAGCCTATTGTTGTTCATCAGCTTGAGGCTTTGGTTGCTGCTGGAGTGACACATGTTGTTCTAGCTGTGAGCTACAGAGCAGAGCAGATGGAAGCGGAACTTTCTCTAGAAGCTAAAAAGGTTTGCTTAATCTTCATACATTTGTTGTGACTAATGAAAATAGGCAACATCTGTTTAAAAAAAGTAGAGCAACTGATACTTGATGAGCTTTGTTGTACATATTTTTGATGTATAGCTTCCAATTATATTGTGGTCATTTGCTGCCATACGCATTGTGTGTTATACTCTATATATTCCAACTCACTGGGAGAATTTTTTTAAATACAGAGCTCCATTAGCATGCAAAGTGGCTTGCCTTGCATATATTTGTGTTATAAGTATGATAAGGCAAGTGACATTTTGGTTAAATTCAAATTTTATCTAAGTTTTGCACAAGTTATATAATCTCTTGATTTGATATTTGTATCTCATGTTAAATTCAATTCCAGCTTGGAGTCACAGTGAGTTTTTCAGTAGAAGATGAACCCCTGGGAACTGCAGGTCCTCTCAAACTTGCTGAAAAAGTTCTTGATGATGGTTCGGGTGATCCCTTCTTTGTTCTCAACTCCGATGTCATTTGTGACTTCCCATTCAAAAGAATGGCAGATTATCATGCAAAGCATGGGAAGGAAGGTACCATTGTGGTAAGTTTGAATTATTTACTAGATATACAGTGGGGGGAAATAAATATTCGTACACTTGAAAAATCGTATTTTAATGTATGTAAGTACACAAACTTAACAGGAAAAGTGATTTAAATTATGTATAGAGACGCATAGTATTCAAAAATACTATCAAAAGAAATTAAATCTCAATGCAACAAAAAACAATGCAACATGTTCACTTTTCGGGTGAAAAAGTATTCGTACAAAACAATAAATCCGCATTATTTTAATATAATACTTGGTTGAATACCCTTTATTCAGCTCAACAGATACCAGTCTATTTCTATACGTCTCGACCAATGATTTGCAGATGCTGACTGGTATTTTATACTAATTTAAATCACTTTTCCTGTTAAGTTTGTGTACTTACATACATTAAAATACGATTTTTCAAGTGTACGAATATTTATTTCCCCCCACTGTATATGTGTCAGGAATACAAATTTGAATACCTTCCAATAGCTGTATTACCAATCATTTAAAAAAATCCCATTTGCAACTTTGTAGTGATTTCTAATCTTCTAATATCATTTTAATATTTCTCCCGAATACAGTGGTTTATTTTTACTGGTTGCCTCTATTTGTGTCTGTAGTACAAATGTTTTTCATGATTTTGCCAAATGAGCTATCCCTATTGCTGTTGTAATCTTCCTTCAGTTCTGAATTAACTCAGAGTGATGACTGCTAGTTTTGAAATGGTCTTTTTTTTGTTTGATCTTAAACACCATGAGGCTTCTGTGAAGAGTAGCATAGGTCATAGATATACTGAAAAGATGCAACTAAATATAAAATTCATGTGATAATATTATAAGTAAATATTCTGGCCATTTAATGAATTTCAGTGATTCACACTGAAATGCAGTTTTGCTTACAAAACCTAGAGCAGTTACCCTTTGATTTCAATTTTTACTATCAGCCATATTCTTATTTTAATTACGGGACTATTTATGATTGCCATGTCCTCCTGCTCTGGTGCAGGACATTTTTTCAGTACCATTTTTTTGTTGTGCCTAATTTTTTGCTTTAATTTATTTTTTATTCTGAGGCTAAAATATTTGCTTGTCACTTGTCATTGCTGAATTTTTTTAAAGCTACAGAGTATAATTTCTTCTTATCTGAGATGGATTCTTTCTGTGTGGGCATACATGTATAATTATATTTGTTTGCTCTCTATGAACATACAAGTTGGGCATTTCATTTCAGGTTAATTTCCTTTTATTTCAGGTCACATGCGTGGAGGAGCCAAGTAAATATGGTGTGGTGGTGTATGATGAAAACTCTGGAAAAATAGAAAGATTTGTTGAGAAACCTCAAGAATTTGTTTCCAACAAAATTAATGCTGGTCTTTATATGTTCAATCCTTCTGTCCTCAAGAGAATAGAGGTGAGGTGCATTTTATCATGAGCAGCCTGACATTGATGCAATAAATTCTTTAAAATATTTAGCATCTGTAGCACTGACATTTGTTCACTGGTTGAATAGTCCCAATTCCTGTAACTATTTTTTTAGTATTGAACTCTTCTTGATTTTCAATAAGAAACTCGATCAATACTTCAATATTTGTCACAGCCATCTTCTGGTTGGTAATTAATTGCTTATTTTCAGAGCAGACCAACAAGCATAGAGAAAGAAGTCTTCCCATCCATGGCAGACGAGGGACAGCTGTATGCTCAGGATCTCGATGGCTTCTGGATGGATATTGGTCAGCCTAAGGACTTCTTGAGAGGCTTGTGTCTCTATCTCTCTTCTTGTGATGAGTCTTTACTGGCAAAAGGTCCAGGTGAGTCACGTGTTGCGTCTTACAAATCCCACAGCTAATGAAATTTAAAAGGAATTTGGATTGAAAACTTCAAGAATATTTAATTATTTAAGCAGGTGAATAAGTTATTGCTATAAAACTTATCAGAAAATTCTCCTAATTAATTGTAATTTTCAATTCTTCTTCATGTGTCTCCTGATTTGTGGAGAGCTTGACTGATATCAGGGGTCAAGAAAGTGATCAATATCAACCTTTAGGCTTCAGGCGAGAGCTCAAGGGGCCAGTGAAGTTATGGGGCTTGGAATTGGGCGATCAAGAAAAAGATTGAAATATATTTGTCAAGCCATTTACTTTTATACAAATCATTTGTAGAACAAGAGCTTGAAATTGAATCAAATTTAAACTATGAAATAAAACTTGATAAACTTGAATTGATAAAATTTAAGTGTTGCGTTATGCTAGTGAGTTGACAATTACTTGAAATGGAGTAAAAATACCAATAAAGGACATATTTCTCCCAATAATATTTAGTAATTCCAATTTTCCCTGAGCACGTGAGTAACAAATGAATGTTTTGGCAGGGATTGTGGGCAATGTTCTGATGGACCCAACAGCCAAGATAGGAACAGGCTGCAGGATTGGTCCCAATGTCAGTATCGGCCCTGGGGTGGTGATCCAGGACGGTGTGTGCATCAAGCGCTGCACTATCATGAAAGACTCAACCATCCGCTCACACAGCTGGCTTGAGAATAGCATTGTTGGCTGGCGCTGTGATATTGGAAAATGGGTAAATCTTTGCTCACTTTGTTATTATTGACTCAGATTTTGGACGACCTTTCCATATTGAAGACAGAAGGGTTGAACTTGCTGGCCTGCTGTTCCCATGGGAGTAATTAATGGATTCTATCTTCTTTTGGAATTAAACCCATGCACCCAGTTGTTTCATGAAAAAATGAAGAGAATGTTTAACTCTCGTTGACTGTCGCATTTCTATCCTCGTGCATTTGTCGTTTTGCTAGATCACTGCTTATATTTGCACCATATTAATGCAACTACAATTTTGTCCTTATGTAGTTACATATATGCTAATATTTTAATCAATTACTCTTTTCCAGCAGTGTTGTTGATGAGTTGTCTTGCTTGATTTTTTTTGGCTAGGCCGTTTTTTATTGTAAAAAATTCCCGGTTTCCTGTTATAATACCGTACCGGTATACAATGTAAAAATATATATCTTTTAATAGTTCTTATCAACGCCGGACTTTAGTGTTAGAAGCATTTTAGCCCATAGAATGGGTTTGTAAGTAGGGAAACACCTATACTACCGAAATCAGTAAAGAACTATTACCTATTTAAAATTTGAGGAGACATTTGAAGTTCTCACAATTTTCTAAGTCGTGTGGACAATGCAATTTAAAAGCCCACCGTTGTTTGTCTATAAATGACGCTCCAAAACAGTTTTGCATTGCCTGAGAATTTATATAACTTGAACGCTTCATGTATTCATTGATTATTCAATTAAATTACCAAGCCGTGTGGCTTTAAACCTCACATAACATTTCAAAAGACGCTCCTCAAAAATGTTTGCTATATTTACAGATTTTTAAACTCTTGATCCCCTCAAATGAGAGATGATGGGTTGCTAAGATGTTAAGTGTTGTGCTAACGATAACAATGCTGGATAATCGAAGTATTGGAAATATCAATCGTAGGTTAAATAAACCTGGAGGTGTGTGTTGCAGGTGCGCATCGAGAATGTGTCAGTGCTGGGCGAGGACGTGATCGTACGGGACGAGCTTTACATCAACGAAGCCATCGTCCTGCCACACAAGGTCATCGCTGCCTCCGTTCCAGAGAAGGAGATCATCATGTGATGCTGCGGTCGAGCTTTCACCAGAATAGGGCATATGAAGACCGCGGAAATCTTTGACGGTCAAATATTATGGATCTTTATTGCCTTCCAAAGGCAGGAGAAAAACGGCATCTCTGAAAGAAATTATCGTTGGCTTAAAAGACGTAATTTCTTACTACTAATGTTAACGTCAACTCAGAATATCTTGTTTCAATAATTGTGTTATCTACGACTTGTTTTGCTGGGAAGATTAGAACTGGGTTTAGAGTTTATTACCAACATTTTTGGTATTTGGTCTTTCCTAAGCTGAAAAAATGAAACAAATATTTCGATTGAGAGGTATTCATCAACTATCTTTAGTTTAGAATCTCTGAACTTCAAACGTGGTAACAATTTCATGTGATTCCGAAGATTACATACGTCATGAAGACCTGTAGTCTATTGTTGTCGTGACTTATTTTGCTAACATCCAAAACAAAATGTCTTCAATGGTGTGGCATATTTTTTTATCAATTAATATAAACTTTGCTCACGGAATGAAAATTCTAGTTACTTTTGAGTGTAGATTTGTTTGATAAAATTTCAACTGAAAGACGGCACTACATGCATTGTCAATGGTTTCAATAAAGTTACCGGTCATTGTTACTCAAGATTCAAGACGATGCTGTGGATAATTTTTTGGAATGTTTGGGACATCATCATCAGTTCAAGTTTCGTGAAATTTTGTAAACATAAGTAAACATGACTTCACAAGAACGAGAGCAGCAGAGCACTGTCATGTCGAGAAAGATGCGAAATTTTGCTGAAACATGTGCAGTAAAAATTCCGATAGACATCAAACCATTGATATTAATATTGGCTGGCATCACCTATCTGTATAAATTTTGAGAAGTGCCATGTTCAAGTTGTTATGTTAGCTAGAACCTACTGTCACTTATGGTTCCCGTTGTGTTTGTCATGTACGTTGACTCGTTACCATGATAATTCTTACATAGTCTGTCTGCTGGTCAGACCTCGTGAGCAATTGTAGCTAGTGGCGTGTATTGCGCTACTTCTTTGGTGCCGTGCAATTCATGATGATGTGCAGAATTAAATTTATACGTGAATTATCCCTGCTGGGTCTTATAATGAAGATCGCCAGTGACATCATACTTGTTGCTGACTTTGCTGTGCAAATTACGTACACATATGTTGGACCTTGGCAGGATTATTTTGTTTTGATGTGAATTTAATTTTAACATATTTGAAATTATTAACGCTGCTTTGACGAAATAATTGTTTCAAGACTCATTTTGACATTTATATTTAATTAGTTGCAGTATGGTATCTTCTGTTTTTATCTGCTTTACGTATTTGAAGTCTACCCCTGTTTCTCTGGACTAAGTTATAGTCGAAGATTAGCAAAAGATGTAATAAATTCATGTGCAGCCTCTATATCTGCTGAAGAAAAGTTCCGAGCTAATCGTGAACACTGTGATTACGTACAATATTTTGGGCAGTTTTATTATTAGTTTGGCGGTAACGCTGATAGTAAATTCTTCTTTGACAATCAGTGATTGTCGATCTTTCTTTGACAATCAGTTTGGATTTGAAAACGCATTAGGTAATTTTGTATGCATGTAATATTTTTCATCATTACGTTCTTCCTAATTTATTTTGTTAGGGTCTTGTGCGGAGCTTCGCTTCTGTCTTAGCTTGGGTTTTAAATTTAGTTCATGATATGATATAGGTAAACTGACCAGACGTTTTTTTTAATTAGACGTCTCACTTGGAGCCTCTTGTAGGTACTATATCGAAGTGGTTAGTGAGTGTCACGTATGCTCAGTGATAGCGGCACTGAGATGAGAGGAGCTAGCTGTGGGTTCGAACCTTGGGAAGCTCAGTTCTTTTCTCGGTATCGCTGATGGGCGAAGTTCGATCGCCATCATAGGTGGTGCTTTCAGCATCGCCTTGGGTTGGTTTCCGTAAACGAGCTCAGGGTACTTGTTACCTGGGGGATTCTAAGATCTTAAGAGTTCTTTGTTATCCGTAGACGAGGTTCGCCTTCTGCGTTGCAGGGACGTCTCTTCAAGCACGATATTGGCATCACTGCTGCTCCTTTACCATTTGATTCTTTGGCAATATTTTCATCTTTCATTTTCTATATGTGTTATGTTGAGACACTCTTTGGATATTTATTTTCTTTTCAAAGTACGGCAATTTCACTTATTGGCTTATCCAGATTGTCAATTCTCACTAGGGCGCCAAACAGTAAATCCTCCTTTAGATTCTGTATGAGACGCTGTGCTCGTCGTTGTACCGAAAGTAAATCAGTACATCGTGGGAGAAGCGTTCAATTCAGCCATTGCCAAAACACGGGAAGATGCATCAGATAAAATACGAGAAAAAGAATAAAGGACAAATGACTGGTGAGTTCGAGGGCACCGAAGTAACCGAACAGTTGCGAGCCTGGTACTAGACTAACTTGAACCAAGCACGTTCGTTTTCGTAGTTAACTCGTATGACGTGGAAGATGCTTCTGATCCAAATATATATCGCTGAAGTTCAGGTTCTTGAAACGTCCAAAGACCATCTCATCATACGCCATTGGAATCTGAAAACCAATTACGTACGCTTTTTATATATAAACGCAATGTTCACAATCGAATTACAGAGTCGAATTTTCGGCTTGTTTTTGCCGTAGTTAGTTTGTGATATTTTTTATCTCAATCGGTATTTGATTTTTTCACCACTGAGACCGGAGTGTCCGTCTGATCTTAATGCCTCAAGTTTTCATGTACGTGGAGATCAATTTGTCGTAAGCTACTTTATGGTGTTCATGGTCAGTAAATAGATTTATCGTCGTGCAGATGGTAAGTAAACTGCATAAGGGCGATTCCTAAGCAAAGAAAACGGTGGCTGGAATGACATTTTGATCAACAAAGAATCTCTTAGAGCAAAATGTTGCAATTTCTGGGACCAACGTTTATTCGCTAAATTGTGTCTATTGTCCTGGTGGGTCTGCGAGTTGGTCTTGCAATAAAGGTTTAGCCTCTAAGGTCCTAATTTATGAACATTTTACTTATTGTTACGTATGAGCAGCGTAATGTTATGGCTGTGGTTTTCTCCAAGGTGGCTTTTTGCTTAAAGATTTCACGAGGGTTTCTTCTAATAAATTTCTATGCGCTATTTTGCAATCCTATCTTTTGTTTTCCCAGCCATGTTTGTGTGCGGCGTATATCCAGGCTTTGGATTATCTACTTAACTGTGACTTTTTTATTATTAAAGCAATTGTGATATTTTGTGGCGGATAATTTTTTTGTTCAAAGGTACTCTTTTTCAACAGTATAAATTAATGACGATTTACTAATGCCAATGTTCTATTTTTTATGCAATCGCCACTATGTTTTGGGATATTTTTATTGTACAGCGGGGAGTCCCTTTTATTGTCCTGCCTCAGGATCGAGTCTCCTCTGCCTCCTTAACCTCTGCATTAATCAGCCAAATATCTTTAGTGATATAAATCATTTTTTTATATGAATAAAGTTTGAACGTGAAATGCGTGCGCCATGTTGTGTTGTCTGGCTTCATTTTTATAACGCGCACGTCTTTTTATACATGCTCAATGTTGTGAAATAAAACCTGTTTCATCATTAAAGTTGGTTTTTCTATTAATAACTCAAATTCTCGCCTGGAAAACTGATCTGCTTCAGGTTTCCTGCAACATCTGATGTTGAAATCGTAATATGCACTCCTCTTCGCAAATTTCTCGGTTCTCTGGAATTACTTTGCATCTGTCTATAGGAAATTTTTATTATGCACACGAAATTTAATTGGTCTTGCCCTTTAATATTATATGATGCTGCATCCATCTTTTTTCGCGGTTTACCAAGACGAACATTCATTTTTCAATTATAACCAGCCAACCTGCACAGATAAGGTACCACCCAACCCATACTACCGAATACTGGACACTTCCTGCCCATTTTCACCGATTCGGTAGGGCATCATTTCTTTCCGTACATGAAATTTATCAGGAGCCAAGCTCTTTTCCACTGTATAGACGATGCTGGAGATGTCTGATCTTCAAGCCCCTCTCAAGGTGAGGTTTTGATGATCTGCTCTGGGAATGTTCATCTGTATGTTTTGCAAAATCAAATCTGTCACTGCAACGTACACTGCTTCTACTAAATAAGATAAACTTTGAAGGAGCTCGAATTTTGTGATCCCTCCGTGTCATATGTGAGCTTCCCACCTGGGTGAAGACAAGTAGCAACTATTTGCAGTGCTAATGTACAGTACATTTGTTGCGTTCTCCGCTGCTACGATTGTGAGAGTTTCAACCGCGGACTCTATAAGTTGAGATGCGTTCGTCGGCAAATACCCCATTTATTCTGATGATGCAAAGGACCGTTCATGCCTTCGTTCAGTGAGAGGACTCAGTTGCCGCAAGAGTCTCCTCTGCCTCCTCTCAACTTCTTACGCCAATGTCGCTTCTTGATGCCGTGATGCACCCTGCATTTGTGACCCATCAACGCTCTCTGAACTTGCATATAAACGTGATAATGCGGTAATATTTATTAGCTTAAAACTACTGGCTACCTACTGGAATAAGTGGGGACAATCAATACATTTTCTACCTCTGCGATCTCATCATCTCAAACAGTATTTGCGCTCCTCTATTTCTATACTCATAGATATACGTTTCTTAAATAATAGTAAAAATTGTCTCTTGAATAATTCATTTATAAACAAGGTGCATTGCGTCTCGAAAAACAGTGGCAGGTGTAGATTTCTGGCCCTTACACGTGCTCCATGGTAGCCATATTTCATGTCATGTCAGGTCCAACTCTACAGCGGGAAAGGCTTAAAGACCACTACTAATCTACTATAGTATATAGGTCAAGCTATTCGATCCAAAAAAATACCGATAAAGTTTCAATATGACGAGGTTATAACGAATCGGCGCAGCGGAGTCCAGTGAAGCATGGCAATTAGGATCTGGTAGTATCTGGCAACCGAATTCTTCCGCGGCCTGCGGGTTACTCACGCTCTTGGCGAGCTCGTGAATCTCTTTCAAGTTCATGAACTTCTTGAGCGCAGTTGGCGATGATCCTTCGTCAAGTGAGGGTGTGCGTGAAACTTAAATTGGGATTCCAATACAATGCGCTTCAAAAATAACGATATGACGTGGTGACGATTTTTTTAAATATGTGTTTCAACAAAATAAACTCGGCAATGCATTCCTTTGTCTGTGTTCTTCTCGATTTACCGCGAAAGTAACGGAGACTAATTTACGGGAAAAAATATCCTACCGCGGTTTCGGATTTCCCTCGTTTCCTTCGAGTGAACATTTTTACTGCGAAGATCCCTTTTTCAACTCTCAACATTCCCATTCAACTATTAACCGAAGTGTTTGACATAGTTTTGTGCAGCTGAGAACAATATGTGATCATTTTTGGAAGATAAATATGGTTGAAATTTATTATATTGTAAGGAAATTAAATTGGATGAATGACTAAGACTCAAATTGTGAATTTGGAACTGAGGGAACGAGAATCATAACTAAAACTACAGAAAATAGAAGAAACCAAGTGCATTACGAACTTACCTCTTCCTGCATTTAAGGTATACTGCTGGACGCGTTTTCAATTTGTGTTCATTATCACAATGCTGTTCATTATCGCTCTCCTCTTCACCTGGCCGAGCTCCTACTACGGCGTAGCTGCCATCGAAGAAAGAGGTAAGGCTCGGATTAAATTTCGAACGAAAAATCGGCTCGTGAGTTTCTTATTGTGTCTTTACTAAGTTTACTCGTCCTTTACTCGCAATATAACTCCCGTTATCTTATTGAAAAAATATAACTCAGTACTCAGTGCAGTGAGTGACAGAGGGCGCATTTTCTCGTCGACGAAAACGAGAAGTCAAGGACAGATGGACGGACAGACGGACATGACGAGCACAATAGCTCCTTTTTCCCATAAATGAGAAAATGCGCTAAAAAACGCCCTACGAATTATGAATTGTATCGACTGCAATGTCACACATCAGACAATTATTGTCATGCGCGCTCATCAACGTTTTCTCATCATTCGATCATTGGGTTGATTGGTGGAGGGAGAGCAAACTCTGTTCTTTCCTGTGTTTATTTGCAATCGATTGACTAGACTGTATTGAAGATGTAAGCCTGATATCTAACTTTAACTTCTGAAATGGCAAAACTAAACGAAGACATTTCCAACTCGTCATAACTCCGATGCAGCTTGAAATACAATTTAT